TGGGGGGGGGGGGGGGGGGGGGGGGGGGGGCACGGAAGCAGTCCATCTCAGGGACATGTGTGCACTGCCTGCCATATAAAAAAAAAAGAAAAAAAATCCCATTAAAGTGTCTTCTCCCTCTGCGCAGGGCGTATAAAACCATAGAGGATGATGACCTGAAGTTCCCCCTGATCTACGGTGAAGGGAAGAAGGTAAGAGGACGTCCGACCCCCCCCCCCCCCCCTTCAGAGCCTATAACCAGAGCCCCGGCCACCCCCCCCCTGCCACCGCATGGGGGGGGCATGTCTGGGGCTTTTTCTCCCAACATAATCCCCATCCTGGGCAGATCTAAGACAAAGATGGCGTATCTACTATAATGGCGTTTGTATGTTAATGTCCTTTAGAAGGTAGAATGTAGCACAGATACAGTTTGGGGGGGCGGGAGGGCAAAGGTCGGCCTCAAATGCGAGCCATCTGTTAGATGGACCGGCGAAGGAAAAGAGAGAGGCTGGACCGAGACACTGACTGGCCGAGAATCCTGCAGTCTGATGAGCTCAGCACATTTCTCAAGACGTTTTTTATTTATTTATTTTTTTTGGCGCACACTTCTCCTCGGCGACGTCTCCATAAGGTCAGGGATGAAAGCCGATATCACATGATCCGCCTTTCAGACGCGGTTCCCCGTTTGACTGATGACCGGGGCAGATGTCCCCCCACACACACACACACACACACAGAGCTCCCCGTGCCCACGTCTGCGCGTTGCCTCTCTTTGAAGTGGGGTGGAGATGGATGGGCAGATAGGGCGAGGGGAGCTGTGTGTGAGGCAGAGAAACGTTAGAGCACTTCAAAGCCTCCGCCGCGCCGCAATTAATCCCAGGATGTCTCCTCGTCTCTGCCCGGGGAGGTTTGGAAGGCTGACGCGCCGCGCCGCATACTGATCCCGACCCCCGGCCCCCCGCCCCCCCCCGCCCCCCCCCCCCCGCTCGCCCTCGGATGCCCTTTCCCTGTACAGTAGAGTCCATTAACCCAGTTCCCCAGTGCTGCGCCGCCATTCAGGGGCCCAGACCGTACAAACTCACTTAAATACAGCTTTATTAATTAAATCAGAGGTTTGGGAAAATAGTTCTGTGATAAAACTGTGCAGCTCCCACAACTTATGGACCATGCATTTATGTATATGTGTGTATATATATATAAGGTCAGGGATGCATGCATGGTCCATAAGTATATATATATATAAATCTACAAAAATGGAGCTAGGTAATTATTACACAACAGTAAACATGTTCTTTTTTCCTTTTTTACAACTTTTTTTGTTATTGTGTGTATATATATATATGTATATGTGTGTATGTGTGTGTGTATATATTTCTTTTTTTAATTTATTTTTTACAGTCAAAAAGAAATATAGCAGGGCACGAACAGTGCTTTTTCCGACCACTGTACAGCTTTTAAAACCAAAAGTTGACAACGGTCCACACTTTGTGGAAAAAAAATCAATCAGAATCAGAATCAGAAATACTTGAATAATACCAGAAGGAAATGATTTTTTTTCCAACTCCAGATATACAACAGCACATACATATATATATACAATCCAATGATGGACATGCATAGAACTTTACAAGAATAAACTAATGCTGAGCTAAAAGATTTAGCTAGGAGCAGAAAGTTGTAAATAATGACTCCATAAATGATAAGTGACGTAATGTAATGACTGTTGGCTTTTCTGCAAACGGCCTGTGGCTCCCCGTGCGTCTCACGTTCCTCGGCCCCGTCCTCATTTTCCCAGATGTCTGCCATTTGTCAGAAGCGAGCGGCGGCGGCCATCGCTCGAGCCAAAAGTCAAAAAGTTTTCTTTTAGACGCACTCCCAAAAGCCTTGGTCGGCGTGTGAAAACTCCAAGATGGGCGGAAATGGAAATGCTGAATGACTTCTGGTTTTGGTGCTGCTCTGTTTACGGCCGATGGGGGGGGGGGTTTGTGTTTGACCCGCCTCTGATCTTTTGCAGGCCCGCGTCCTGGCAACCATCGGAGTCACCAGAGGTCTGGGGGACCACAACCTGAAAGTGCACGACTCCAACATTTACATAAAGCCCTTCCTGTCCTGCTGCCCGGAGGTAGGCCGTGTAGATGACCATTTGAATTGGTGTGTGTGTGTATGTGTGTGTGTTCAGCCATCAGAATGACAGCGTATTTTTTTCTTAGCGTTGTCACGTGGAAAATCTCTTTGAATCTATTTATAATCGTTTGCAAGTTATGTGGAAAGAGGAAGTAATCCCTCTGCCACAAACCACAGAATTTCTGACACCACGCAGTAACGTTAGTTTTCGGTTATTCTAGTGCAAGCGGGTCTTTTTTTTTTTTGCACTACTGCTGATGTGTCCAGAGCTCATTGTTCCAGGTCAGCTCTTTGTCTCCATGTTAAGTGGTGAACTGTAGTTTGGCCTTAACCCATAAGAGCCTGGACCAAGGGAAATTATATAGAATACAAAACTGACCGATTGAACCTTTTATATCACATTTCACATATCACAAAAACATAACAGTTTACCATCTTCAAATGTCAAATACCTGTCATTCCCATGTCTTTTGTCAGCCATTTTCTATACATTTATTTTTTATTTAAATTGACACACGTGTCAGTTTGGGTTCTTATGAGTTGGTTATATTTGGTCAGAGAGTTTTATTTTTCCTTGAGAACTCTCCCTTGCAGGTATCTCTTTGTACAGTCACTGTGATAGTTCCACAACCAGACCTGGAAGTTGGGGACTATTGATGGTTGATATCAAGCAGATTTTGCTACTGGGCGGAATTCATTAGCATACCAGACATTTTGCAACAGGAAAGCAGTGTTTAGATCATTTATCTGAAGTAGAAGAGCTTATTGTAAATACGTTTTAGATTAAAAGTAAAACCATATAATAACTGGCATCTGGAGTATGCTTCATTTGAAGGCAGATAAAAGCCTAGCAGCGATGACTTCTCACAAATAAGGTGTCAAGAATTCAATGGACTCTTCCAGATTCTAACAGCGTAAAACGGGTTGTTTGGGGGCCACTACCTGAGTTTCTCAGAGTCCGAGCTGGTTGAAACGGCTCTAACATATCAGAGATATGTACATAAGCAGAGCTGTTTTAAAGTCTTTTCAGGAAGCCAGAGCAGAGACCTGAGCGCCGGACTAATACGGCCCTATTTCCTGCTGTTAGTAAAAACTCGAGCAGGAGCACTTTGGGTGTTCTTCACAGGGCCCTTATGTGGAATTTTCTGTGATTTTCTTGAGATTACCTTCACATGTCTGTTGCCAGTGGATGGATTACATTCGTCCTCTCACAGTGTAGACAAAATAGCATTATTTACTCCCGTTCTCAGACCCAAATTTACTTTGTTCCTGCCACAGAGCCACATTTTCTCTGAATTAGTGAACACAGCAGTATTTGCACCTGGCCTGGTAGTTTTTTTTACTCATGTGATCTCAAGTAAAGGGAAAGTGGGGCAGACGTAGGTTCATCAATTGCATCAAAATGACTCTATTGCTAAGAAAATTATGGTTATAAAAATATACCTTCTTTTAAATAGTGTCCCCAAAGCTGAGTTTGCATCAGGTTAGGGACCAGCTGCACCATCTATTTGAATCAAATCAGAGGAAAACTCTGAGAACTCTTTTCAATTAGTCTCTTTTATTTATTCTTTTTACAATCACTTCTCTTTTCTTTAAGACAACTTCAAATAACTCCTAAGAATAAAAGAAAAGAAAAATCCAACCCTGAGTACAATCATAGAAAGACTGTTAAATTAAAGTAGATGATTGCAGAAGTGGGACAAATAAAAAACGAATGTCAATTACTACCGGCTTACCCCACAACACTGGGTCTCATAGCAGATATTTTGGAGAAAAAAAAAAGAAAAACTAACCAGCAGACCAATCCACAGAACACACTTACTTTGGTGATTTTATGGTTTTATTCGTTGATAAATTATTTTAAAAAAAACACCATAAACTGATGTTGATGTACCTGGAACAGGCTCATGGAGAACAGCTGTGCTTATCGTGCCTTCAATGTGCCTTTTTTTCAGAAGTCTGGCAGAAACATTGGGGGCTTCTAAAATAAATGGCCAATAAGAGAGCCTAGTTTGTAGAATATAGAAGATGGGAGAACTTACCCATGCACTCGTCTTAACCGACTCTTCTATGAACGAATCTCCTTCCAAAATGTTAAAAAATGTTAGTTTTTTTTTCTTTCTTGAAACAGATGATAGTACGTGACCTCAACTGTAAGTTATTATCTAGGAATCAGGATCAGACCACATCAGCTTAATACCTTTCCAATGTTACAAAAATATTACAAAAGAAGAATCGTTTTTGGAGATTTTTTTTCTAAATGTATATCCTCCACAGATACGTTGCTCTCTTTGTTGTAATAGTTCCTCCTCGGTATCTGTCACAAAGACTACAAGTCTCCACTATAACTTATATAGTATAGATATAATTGTACTGTCTGTTAGGCTTCGTTCTGACCTCATAGAAGCCCAGATTAAAAGAAAGAAAATCCAGAGGACAGGTAAATGTAACCATTTACATATATATTGCTGTCGAAACGCTAATTCACTGTATGAACAGCAAAACATAAGAGACACCAACATATAAAAACTATTTGGTGGAGGACGGTTGCTTCCCAGTGGAAGAAGGGTAATGGCTCCTCATTAGCAGGACGATCTCTGAGACATGGTTTAAAAAAAGCCAAATATATATGCAAGGGACTTTAATTGAAGAGGAGAGTCTTCACACATTTTTTTTAACTGTGCCAAATATGATTTTTTGTGGCTTTTAATCATGTTCAAATCCCCTGAACAAACAACAAAAAAAATTAAAAAGCTGCATGTGAGTGCAAATTGATGCAGAGTAGTAAACGTGGGCTTCAAAGGGCTGTCGGCCGTCTGGAAAGTTAGGTGATATTCGTTTCCGACCAGCTCGATCTGCGGGTGGTTATTTCCGTGCCCTGTAGGACACGTTGCCATCGACCGTAAACCTTGCGATCCCCATTATTAGCGACTATCGCACATGATGGCAGAAGTCAGGAAGGCCGTAAATGCTTGTGCTCTTTCATTCGCCGCTCTCTAAGTTCAGCCGTAGTTCAGCTCTTTATTTTCCCCCCCGGATGATCCTCGGAGATGCCGCAAGTCACTTTTGTTATTACGGGAAAGAGAAATGCTTCATTTCAGCTGTCAGAGGTCACGCCGGCTGTTTAACGCATACGGAAAGGACTGTCCAGAAATCGGGGAGGGTGCCCTGTAGGGATTGTGCAACGTTAACATCGGCGATTGCTACGCGAACGGGACTGAAAAGGGACGTGACACGTGAAAGCGGGGCTCCGGATCAAAGGTTCAAACCGTCTCTTGGTCTTCTGTGTTGCTCTGTTGAGAAATCCACCCACTGGTACGGCCATAACCGGGAAGTTCACGACCCACGCAGGGGGTCACCGTAACTCCCGAACAGCCTTTATTCACCGCGTGTGTGTGTGTGAGGGGAATAACAAACTCCCCCTCGCAGAAGAGGAGAAATGACTTAAAGCAGCCATGGGCAACTATGTATTCATCTGACTGGCTATGTGTGTTAGCCTTGTTTGGCCCACTTGAACTTGGGAGGCTGTACCTCGAATGTATTGTAAAATTTGAATGTCCTTTGCTTTAAAACATCTTGACGGTTGCCATTAACAGATTTCTTGATTAGCAGGGAAGATGGTTTATAGTTATTCTGCTAAAAATGGATTTTCAGACCTCAGTGTGCCTGTTAATAATGCGGTGCAGTGCATGTGATGAGTAGAACTGACCGGCTGAAAAAGGGGCAGAGGCCGGCTATCGGCTAAGCGAGCTGGAGGAACCCAGAGCTGGTCAAGAGTCCAGCCTCAGCTTCATCCAGCCACTAGCTCAGCCGAGAGCCACTCTGTAAATTCTTTGACCCTGATCTGAACCAGTTTCTTCGACAGCCAAGATGAGCTTTGTTTTTAGGCAAGCTAGCTAGCGGGATAGCAGTCTCTGTAAATGACAGAGGCAAATTTCAACGCTCAAAAGTTTTGACATTTACCTGGACAAACTTTAATCAAACAGGAACCACCCAGAAAATGTACCCCTTTGCAGGACAACCAAAAATGAGAAATGATTTTAAAAGCTATAATATGCCTCTAAAAGAGCATTGTAATGCACCATTAATGCAGGGGACTATTTTTTAGAGTGGAAAATGTGAAAATAAAAATGTATTCTTCTGAACAAAATCTGGCATAACGGTAACACCTTAAGGAGAAATAAAATCAGTTACCGTGACCCTTAGGATGAAAGGTAGCAGCGAATCCTAAAAATGGGCTTTTTAAGATAAGCAAGTTATTTTTAAAATTCCTTAACCCTGAACTCTCGCCTCGTCTCTCCTCACCCGCAGGTCAGAGTTTACCCCTTATCGCAGCACGAGCACGGGGCGGATGACGTCCTGGTTCTGGGAACCGACGGTCTGTGGGACGTCCTCTCCAATCAGGAAGTGGCCGAAGCGGTCAGCGGCTTCCTGGCAAACTGCGACCCGGACGACCAGCACAGGCACGTTGGCTCCTCTCAACCCGGCCTTATCTAGCTTTATGCAAATATACAAAAACATTTAGATAAATCGCTCCTATGATGTCAAAGGAACTGCTTTGCGGTTTTAAGGAGCTCAGATGTGTTTGTCTCAGACGCGTTGAGTGGAGCAGAGTGCACGGCTCCATGAACTGACCGTTAATCACTTTTGGTTTTGGCAGGTACACAATGGCGGCTCAGGACCTGGTCATGAGAGCCCGGGGGGTGCTGAAGGACCGGGGCTGGAGGATATCCAACGACCGGCTGGGCTCCGGCGACGACATCTCCGTCTACATCATCCCCCTCATGTACGGAAACAAGCAGAACTAGCCCACATACCCCCCCCCCCCCCCCCCCCCCCCCCCCCGGTAGTTTTAAACCGCATTTGTGTGGGTTTCCTCTTCTGGTGAAAGATCAAAGGTGGGATTTCTGTCCCGGTCTCCCCGAGATCGTCCTTAGATTTCCTTTTACGGAAGAGAAACAGACAAGCCGTCCCACGGAAGGAGACCATTTTTTATTTCTTTTTATTTGAGTTAAGACGTAGATATTTCTTTCTTTTTTTTGTCTTTCCTCCATGACGAGGAAGCTGCTGCGAAGTTCACATGTGCGGGGGAAAAACAAAAAAGAAAAGGTCGCCGGCTGGGACTTATGGCCGTCACTGACCCGCGCACAAAACTTAGAAATGTGAAAATGTAAATAGCCATTGTTCGAACGTCTGTACAGTGTACAAAACAAGAAAACGAACACGCAAAAAAAAAAAAGAGTTCTTAAAACCTGTGTCCGCCATGTGTTCCGGTCCCCCCCTGAAACGAAGCAGCCCGGCTCACACGTGGTCCTCTCAGATGTGGGTCACCTCCAGATGGTCACCTGCAGCCCAGCTTTTGCCATTTGTTTCCAATCGAAAGAGAAACAGCTTCGCCAACCTCTTACGTCTTCCTTTGTGACCGTCATCCTCTCTCAGTCCTTCTTAGATATACTTACAGGTGCCTCTTAACTACGTCGGTTGACCGGATGTTTAGATAATGTTTGTGAACAGCACCCGTCTCCGATGACCATTAGCAGGCGCTTTCCTTTTTGGTGCGTTCACCATCGATGTGGTTCTCATTTTGAGTGTTTTTCTGCTGTACAAATGGCTGGCTTTCAGCCAAAACATGGGGAGTAACTTGATGTAAATGTAAATATTATTTCCAGTGGACAATCTTCTCTCTGTTTCTGTAAGTGATGTACATCTTTCCGAAACCAAGACGTGTCATTTCTACTGTTTTAGAAACCGAGGAACGGTGAAAAGGAGAGAGAGGGAGATTAAAAAAAAGATGTTGTAATAAAAAGGAGAAATGGATGGTTTCTGGCCTTGTCACTTCCTTCCGCCCGTTGGTTTAGACGTGTCCATCGGTACAACAGAGGCATGTTTGTGTATTCTTCTGCCCCGTAAACAGACAGGAGGATTTTATTTCAGCGTTTGGTTATTTAAAGGCTTGAAAAAAACTCCTTTTCGATCAGAGTGGCTTCACAGAGCAGGAAAACGCCTCCGTCCCTCCGTGTTAACAGCCCCAAATGGAGGTGGGTGCAAAAGGGACTAAATTACCCCCATTAGAACATGTAAAGCTCTTCTGGTGGCCGCTGCTCGGAGGGGTGTAATTCCACACCAGATAGCCCCGGCAAAAACCATGTTCTAAGGGGATGAGGTACTAAATTGTTGGAATTCCTACCAGACCAGAGGTGTTGTTCACAGAGCAGAATGAAAGCCCTCAAGGTCCAACATGACAGGGGGAGGCAAAAAAAAAAACAGAAAGGCCTCGCAGAAGGAAAAGACGACAGAAACCCGACCGTTTCTTTACACTAAATACCTGATATTATTCACAGTGCCTTCCCGTATACCTGTTTTTTTGGAATAAGAAGAACGACGAGCGGCGTCGTCCAATGAGCGACGGATCCGGTTTCGGTGGAGTCCAGAGACACCTGAGATGTAGACTAAAAAAAAAAAAAAGGGGAGGTGTGGGTCAAGAGTGGCCAGCCTGCAATGACAAATCAAGGGATGGTCAACTCAAGAGAGTCCTGGCAAAGAAAAGACAAAAAAAGAAGTGGTGCCGAGAGCTGCGATGTGGAAAGGTGAGGATGGGATTATTCCTGACAGCGTGGGAAAGCGGAAGTGATGGAGACCAGGAGGAATAGAGCTCACTCACCAGAGAGAGCAGATCTCCAGAGCTGAACCGGCGCTTAAGCCTCATCCAGCATTTGCTTTAGCAGAAACGTAAACAACACCGCGCTGGCTTTCCAGTTCATCGTTTTAATTGGTTACACACATTTATTTTCACTTCCCTGGTTCAGTTGGAGCTAAACAGGTCAAAGGCTAAATAGATATTCGGAGGGATGATAGCACACTGGGACAAAAAGAAAGAATTTTGCCAAATCCTTTTCTGATTTTCCGATTAATACGGGGGCTAATATAACGGAAAACGCTCTCATGATTCTCCTGATAAATGCCTTTGCGGTGCATTTTGGGGGCTCGTGGCGTGTTGTTCGTGGGAGTCTCACACTCCCGGGTCCTCTGCAGGAGCGGGGGGGACCATCTGGTCCCTGCAGGACCAGCACCGCATCCTCCTCCCGTCAGGCCAGCTCTGATCTGGCACTCCACTCCCACTCCCTCTACGCAAGTGTGTGTGTGTGTGCGTGCGCGCGTGTGTGTGTGTGTGTGCGTCGGTGCGTGTGTGTGGTCCAGATTGGATGACGGCAATGATGACACAGTCATTCCTGTGGGTGGCTTGTTTTTCCAAGGTCACAGCACTCCCACCCCACCCATGGACAGATCTGAAGGAGATGCTGAGTGGGCCTGGAGGAAGATACTTATCTGCTCACACACGGAGGTAAAAGCGTTACCTCACTGCCGTGTGGAACAAAGGCTGGCCGAGGCCCTCAGGGCCACTTTTAAAGGGGGGTGGGCATATGTTTCAATGCCATTTTCTTACAAAAGGTAGTGGAAAAACAGTTTAACCAATTAGGCCCTTTTGGTACTGAAAATGATTCAAATCATCAATGAAAGAATGACACCATTTCCATTTAAAATATACATATATATCTATATAGCAGATAGGCTTGGCTTATAGTCTTAATTACTTTTTCAGACTGAACCGAGCAATAAAATGTGGGAAAATGACAAAAATGCACAATCACTGCTAGCTTTTCTCAGTGAATTGCTCTTTCTAGTAACTGCTTCACGTTCCAGGTTACTATCCAAGCAAAAAAACAAAAAACATCCACATTTCCAGGTTCTTTGCAGTGATAATATACTACTCATCTTTTTTTCTATGAGCATATTTACAGTCCCACCATCAAACACAAGTAGACGAGGTGGCAGGCGTGAGGGTATTCGATGACGGAGAGGCAGAGGTGTGACTGTTCAGCGATACTACCGAGAGCGGAAAAGTTTCCCCAACAGCCTCTAAATTATCGCGCCGGGGGCTCCTGCGGTCCGAAAAGTAAGATTTATCTGCAGCTCGGCTCGAATTAGACTTTTGGCAGAAGACGGATGGGTAGAACACACCGTTGGGCGCCTCTGTGCTGCTCACCCATCCACGGACTGGATCTCTTTACAGTCAGGATGTGATAAACGACGTTAGGTTTGGCCCTGAAGATGAAACGCCGGTGTTTATTACATGAGGCAGACCTGTTGGGCCTTTTATGCGAGCAGCTCAGTAATAGCAGGGCCTCCTCTGTGGGCTATTCGCTTGTCTTCTAGGGTGAAAAAGCACTCCCTCTTTGTTGCTAGCATGCCTCTGCGCGGTGAGTAGCCGGAGTAAAAATCACTGTAGCACTTGAGCGCATATGCTGGTGGGCAGGAGCGTGGCCCGGGATGAGCACAACTATCATATCAAGTGCGAGCTCATTAATATTTCAATGGACTCCTCTTGGAAGGTCAAAGCAGAAAAACGCTCAGGTTCTGAATGAGTTTCTGGCTCTGATCTGAGCAGCAAGGGGGCGGTTTGGGGGGGGGGGGGGAAGGAGGGGGCTCAAAAATCAAGCATGCAGCCCCCTGCAAGCTTTCACAGAGCCAGGCTGCCAGCCAATCACAGCTCATTACTCATTCCGGTCCCCACCCCTGTCACGAGACCCATCCTAATGTGGTAGGGAGCAGCCAGCAGACACAGCTGGGCAGCCAGGGGAGGATCCAAAAGGTTAACTCCTGTAGTAGGGTTTAGAAAGATGGTTTATGGGGAGGGGGGGTCATGCAACTGTCCACTGTCCGTGGACACTACACAGGGACGTACCATTCATATTTAGAATAATAAGCAGTCCGCATTATGTGGACCGAGCCAACAGTGGGCTGAATGAACAAGCTGTGCCTTTGCCCTGCATTTGAGTACTCTAGTGCAGAACACACACACACACACACACACACACACACACACAGACAGGTCCGATGGTATGCAGCATTATTATCTGCGAACCGGAGCAGATGCACCGTAGGACACCTCTGTGGGCAGCAGGAGCCACGTCACTCCTCTCCTCATAGCAACAGTAACGCTGACCCACATGCTTACTTTCTACACGCCCCTGCCCGCGTGGTGCTGGACGCCGCGTTGCGTTCGCGTGTCGACTTTCCTTGCGCGTTAAAAAAAATGTTTCAAATAAAATGCACATACAGATAGCTTAGCGTATACGAATGCATGTACCAAAAAAATAAATAACTTACGTTTACACAAAAAAGGGGGGAAAACGCGTTTAAGAGTTGCGTTATCTTTCAAATGAAAACTACAAACCACAAAGTATTTTTTCTTTTAATGCGCAAACTATTTTATTGGGCAATTGATGCACAGAAAGACACGACACAGGTCAAAATGCAGCAAAAATATTTAACACCCCCTCCCCCAACCACGCTAAAATATAAAAAAAATTAAATCACTAATATCTTGTTTCAAATAAGGCACCGAGCATTACCTGTTTAAAAACTGGCTAACGGCGTTGGGAGCGTGACTTTCTTTCCCCCCTTTTCCTTCCACGAGCTGAAGTGAAGGCACCAGCACCAGCAAGGCAGTAGCTTGCGCAGTCATCTCCATAGCGGGCAGTGTCTCAACCCGACCAACAGCACAAACTACTACCTCAGCCAGTACGTGGTGAAGAAGAAGCCGAATGAGGAAAGAGAAGAAATGCAGCGGATTTTCTTTTTAAAAAAAGAGAGGGAGGGGGGGAAGCGTAAAGTAGTGCAGCGTCTCGTCGGCGGAGATACACCCTCACCGACGAAGATGTCCGTCCGTCCTCTCCCGCTCCACTCCTCTTCTGAGCAGACTTGAAATGAGAGGGAAACCCCGCCCAAGAGGAGCCCTCCCCACTCCCCATCACCACCTCCTCCGTCTTCTTCGTTGTTTTTAATACAAACCACAGCCCTGTCCTTTCCCCTCATGTGACCTTCCGAGGGGGCCCAAGCTAAGGTTCGGGGTCCGCCGAGAGCACGTGCGAGTCAGCCATCACGTCCCTCGAAGCATATACACGAGGCTTAGCTGGCAGAATGGTTAGAACTGAGCTGGCGTTTTTCCACTATAAAGTAGATATTTCTGTCGCCGAGGGTCCCATTCCAAAAAACAAACCGCAATGTACAAATATGCCACAACCCCCTTGTCTAAAAGGAGACAATAAAAGATAAACGGAAGTAGTTCATTTTTTTCTTCTTCTTCTTCTTCTTCCCAACCAGAAAAAAATGTTAGTTTTCCATTCCTAAATTTGAATTTTACCTCCGCTTACCTTTAAAGTTATTTGGGTTAAAAAACAAATTAAAAAAAAAGATTGGTAGCAAATATATTAAAATGGCAGCTAAGGAGTTATGGTTGCGTGCCACCAAAGGCCTTTCCCCAGATATGATTTCTGCAAAGACTGCAATGACCAAGTACAAACGTAGAGCTTTAAAAAGTCACTTACAGAAATCACAGTTGCTATGTGGCAATGTACATATCCCTTTGCCTACATTAGCAGAGAAATGAACAAACCAGACGCTGCCTTTTAATGCATTTCATACAAATAAAAGTTCCCATTTTCATACTAGTATTGACCAGGAAATCCTGGACTTACATTGAATTATGAATATGTTATGTAGGGATGCAGGTCTCCAGAAAATGTAAATACGGGACATAAGTGAACAGAATGACGTCCAGCTTACTTGATATTAAAACAAATTATAAAAGTGTTTGTACATTAAACATTTAGCAGGTCTTAGGGAAATCTAGTTTTTTGATCAGCTTTAAGCACTTTAAGTCATGACTGAGCACACATGCCATAGAGCTGATTGTAGAATTGTCCCATTTATTTTACACAGACACATACAATCATCAGATGGCTGGCTAAAGATGACATGGAATGTTATAGTAAGATTTGTTGTTCTTTTTGCATAAAATCTTCAAACTGGAAAATGTCACAAACGTTTAAGCCCCAGTTTTTGCCTTTTTTTTTCTTTTGAAATCATCATTAATTACATATTCAACACTATCACCACACACTGTACATCGATGCAGCCTCTTCAGGAGAATAAAATAAAACAAAACTCAGAAGCAACGCTGCAATTTTTTCTTTTAATCTCTGTGGTTAACAGGCCATTGCAGTCAGTTTGTATGAGAGTGGAAGGGTGGAGGGGCATATGAATCATCGGGTCACATGAGAAGCACACGATAATGAGTGTGAAGTCCGGGGTGCCTGGATCTGGTCTGGGGCGACCTCGGCTTGGTTTTTCTTAACGTCATCGAAGATGGAGTTCATGTGGAGTTCATGTCCGAGCGGCTTGCGAAGCCGCCCGGAATAAGAATCAAGACTCAGTGTTTCTTCTTTATAAAAACGAGGAGCAGAGGGTGAGCCCGGTCAGGACTCTCCATTCTGGACTTTGCAGACAGGTGGCTGCATGAAGTCTTTAAAGGGCCCCAGGGCCTCCTTCAGGGCTGAGCTCACCTCAGATGAGGAGCAGGTAATGCACTCCACTAGCGTAGGATATAGTGCAATCACCTGAGCCCACGTATTACCATCCACTGCAGGTGGTAAACAAAGGAACAGACAGAGTGATGGAAGAGAGAGGAAGGAGAAAAACATTATTTGTAACGGAGGACAATCAAAGGCATCATCTCCTTAATGAAACTCCCATAGGTGTGGGGGAATTAGTTTTGCTTGGAATGAAGGACATTGTAATCTAAACATGTTCAAGGGCATTTCAAAAATCTAATTTTACAATGTCTCACTCCAGTCTATTACTGATATAAGAAATGATTTATGACATTGACATTGTTGGAAACAAACATTCCTTCCAGATCAGGGACAAAACTCTGAAAAATGATCCTCATTGTACTCCGACGCATTTTCCAAAACAAGCAGATGACAGATACGGTGTCTATACATTTTTTCCCCCCTTTGTGACTCATTTTCTTTCCAATAACTATTCAAACAGCACCGTAGTTTGATAACTTACCGTTTTCTGGGTGTGTCTTCTTCAGCGAGTCCATCAAAGTGCTGATGGCTTTCAATACAAAGATAATCTCGGTCACCTGCTGCCTAAAATGAAAAAAAGGACAAAGGATGTCGTCGGCTTAAAAAACAAAAAGAAGGCCCGGGATTAAATGCAGCATTTTAAATCCTTTTACTTCAGAAAATAGGATGGACAAATGTGTGAAAATGGGTGGGTGAGTCTGGATAAGGTCACTGTATGAGTAAGACTACCAGACAATAGGGTCACATGATCACGCATGTGTTATCTATTGGACAAAGCATTTAATGAGCACTTCTATAAAAGCAGAGCAGATAAGGATGTCTGATCTTTCCAAATACATCCAGCTGCGGTGCCGTGACAGAGTGGTACCTCGGTAGGGGGCAGCGTCCACTCAGCCGCTCGTCCTCTACGTAGCGCCTGAGGACGTCCTGGGACCGTTTGAGGAGCACAGAGAGCGCCATGCGGGAGATGTAGCCCTCCTGCGGGGTGGACACCTTGTTGCTGAACGAAAACTGCAGCAAGGTCTCGAAACACACCTTCGAGAACTCCTCCCGCATCCGCACGTCTATCTCCGCCTCTGTTGGGGCAAGAAAAAGAGCCGTTTGTGCACCAGACTTGAACCAACGACATGAAAAAAAACAAACAAAAGTCAGTTACTTACCTGTGAAGGAGGGAGACTGGGAGTGAATGGAACCTTTATTGAGCATGGCCATGATCTGGCCAACAAAGTCTTTGGGGATGAAGTTGGCAAATGGTAAAATCTCTGTGCTGATCAGTTGGACAACCTAACAAAAAGAAAAGACGCCACACTGAAGATATGGGAGCGACTACATCTTTTCATTAAAATGACTGAAACCGATATCTACCTCCACGTCAACGGCTTCATTCTTTTGAAATTCCTGGATGGAGACGTTATCCGGGGGAGTGCTGCAAAAAAAGAGTGCAATTCCGTTGCTACATTGGCCTTCTGGAGGTCTTTGAGTCGACACTAAGCCTTTAAAGAGAAGTACCTTTTGGTGAAGAGAAAGTCTTCAAAGGCATTGGCCAACTCGGGCCACATAGTGTCAAACTTTCCAGATGAGGCGTGCTGGCGTGCAACTGGCAGTCCAATGGACAAGACCTTAAGGAGAGATGACACGGCCAGCTTCCAGGTGCTCTCTGAAGGACAGGCGTACTTCAAACCCAAAGGCATTCTTAACGTCTTCAAAAACGAGCAGAAGAGACAGGAATGCTCATTAAAAAATATATCTAGACATTTAGAACAAAGTAGAGGCATTGTGAAATATTTCCCATCATTTCTTTAGTTTGAGAGAAAACCTTATGTCGGTTAAAGTAAAAATGAGTCATCGAAAAGCATTTATTCAGAGCCACCAATGGTCGTTTTCAAATGCCATTCTCAAAGGGGAAAAAATAATAATAAAAGCTCTCTCTTTTCTGAGAGCAGCTGGGCTCCCCAAGCAAACATTTCAAGTATCACCCTCTTGCTAAAGAGCCAGAAAAGGGAGGGAGCCACATTTGGATGGGTCCGCATGGAATCTCCTTAATAGGTCCTTGGCAAAACAACCATCTTCAATTTGGGGTTGGAGCAGAAACACATTGTGGGAAAAGAGTGGTCAAAAGCAGGAGTTGACCCTGGAAAAAAAATCCCCAACTGAATACAGTGAAGGCTTTACAATAACATGTTGATTTTTGAGAGTAGCATACAAGACGCGATTCCTCAGATCGATACCGTCAGACTCAGAGAGGGCTCGAGCGAAATGTGCCCGGTGGAAATCGGCGACAAATTGGTAGGGACTCACTTTTTCAGAATTTAAAAATGTATTTCTAACTTAAAAAAGCTGCATCAATCGTCTGTACAGCAACTTTCTGCATAAAAAAGTTCCGTTTTTGAGCAGAAAAGAATACACAAGGGTGTATAGAACGGAATTCCAACACATCAAATCAAACAAGGAAACATTTTTTACCAATTACGATAAAACGGTACAAGTATTTTGGTGGAGAATACCTTGATGACGTTCTGCAGCACCTTCTCGTTGATGACGGCTTTGTGGCACGCCGTTTTATGGTACAGGTCCACCACCACCTCCAAGGAGCGCTCAGCAAAGGGCACATAGTTTAAGGCCACCCATTCTGCCTGCAGGGACAAGGGATTTCAACCGAATGGGCAAAATAAATAAATAGATCAATAAAAATCTGACACGTTTAGAAACACATTCTCCGACCATTTGGCAGGACCACACTGAAAAGCTGGATGTAAAAGCACACTTTGCATGGGCGTAAAAACGTACACGGCAAATTAGGGCCGACTATAAGGTCAGTTTGGTCAGGGAGGGGCCTTTTGAGTTTCACGGCTCGAATGTTGGAGCTAAAGAAAATGAGTGGAGTCTTCAAAGTGTGCCTTTAGGAGGTATTAACACAACCAAACTTGTGCGTATGGACATCACCGGAACCACAAAAGTCGACTGAGAATGAAGTCCAAAGGGACTGTGCACACAGAGGCAGAACCACCAGTTAGTGGCAGGCAGAGAGAGAAGGGGAGGGGGGCGGGGGCTGGGACGGGGGGGGGGCAGCATGGAGTGAGTGGTGAGAGACGCAGATGAGACGTGAGAGCCTACCATGCGGACTGATTTCACATCTGCCGCAGGGGGTAGGTCATCAGCATTCAGCACAGCTTAGTACATCTATAGATGGGGCTTAAGGAGATGATGAAACTCACCGGTGCAAATAGCTGGATCTAAAATGGTTATCCAGCGAGTAGTTCCAAGAAACAGAATGAGAAAAGACTGCAATTAAATGGCTGTTTTTTTTTTCTTCTTCTAAGAGTTGTGTTCGTGTCTGCAGTGGTTTGCAAATGAACTTCAACAATCGGGTCTTTTTTTTCTTTTTCCTAAAACAACCGTCATAGACCGTCAGGGGGGCTTATAACCTTTAACCAGACTTTCCGGTAACGGGAAGGTTGAGGATAATCTGACAAAGTTCTCGCTCTCCGATCTTATTTCCTGAAGATGGGAGGGAAGGAGGCTGAGGGGGGGCCGGCGCCCGTCACCTTAAGGCGGCCGCAGCTGAACGGGCAGAAGCGGCGTGCGGAGCGTGTCGTACCTGGTTGTATTTGGCATTGGCCACGTGTTTGGTTTCCATCCTGCCGTACTGGGGAGGCTTGCAGGAAAACTCCACGAAGAGCAGCAGCTGTTCAAAGATGGCCGGGTACATGACCTGCAGGTTCTCCGGGCCCACACAGATGGCCTGCAGCACGGGGGGGGGAGGAACAACCGCCACAGGTTTAGCACACGCTTTAGCAAACAAAAACACTTTCCGGGGCTGGCTTGACACAGAAAAAGGAAGAAAGAACTTACAACTACAAGTGGGACTTTTTGGTTAAGGAGAAGCCAATGAAAAGGTATAAGACCTGTATTTTTTCCACCATTTCAAGGCTGAAGATGAACTGATAACTGACAGATTTAATCCCGAAGCTCACATTCTGCCTTCATTTCTCCCTTTTTCTTTTACACTGCTTACCAAATATGGACATTTTATTTTGTAAGGTGTCCTTTTCCTACCTTCTGCAACACATCCAGAGCAGTGAGGACGGCCTCCTGCAGGCTGGTGAGCACCGCCTCGGTGTAGGAGGGGAGGATGAAGGGCGAGGCGTCGCTGCTGATGGGCACGGAGACGGCCCCGTGGAGGATGACGCCCAGCTTTTTCAGGTCCTCCATGCTGAAGTTGGCTTTGATGTGCTGGTAGAGTGCGGGGAAAATCTGGACCAGGGCGGTGAGGAAAGGCTGGCTGGGGATGAAGGACAGCTTCTCGGTGGGGCCGTTGGGCGGCCGGGTGCTCTCGGTGCCCGTCCGGTACCACGTGTTCCACGCCGACCACCACAGCGCCGAGTCCTCCAGCGCCGACTCCTCGCCCGGCGGCGGCGCCTGCAGCTCGGCGCCGTTGTACCTGGTCAGCCGCTCCACCAGCGAGTCCGAACGCAGCAGGGGTCTGCCCGGGCCGGAGGCGGAGAGGGGGTCGATGAGGACCGGGGGCACGCCCATGGCGGCGAGGGCGTCTCCCACTCTGTCGGAGTCTTTGACGGGCGTGACGATCTGCAGGATCTCTTGGAAGCTCTTGAGGGCGGCGAGGGACACCTCGTTGTTTTTGCTGAGGGCGGCCGACTGAATGTGGTTCAGCAGCACCTCCCAGGCCTCGAAGAAATCCCCTGCAGAGACGCGCCACAAAACGGGGGCCATGTCAGCGCAAAGTCTCAAGAAAGGAGGCCGTGAAAACGGAAAATAATTCGGGTTTTTTGTAGTAACATCAGGCCTGTCCAGGATATAAAATCACAATCTACTGCTGCTCATCATCATCTATCATATTGGACCTGTCAGTGGGAGGCACTGATTTAAACTAAATGCTCATTTAAACTAAATGCTACTCATAATGGAGGAGAAAAAATAGTGGCACTTTACTTCGACGTCTACAATTCGTAGATCTCTGCCCAATTTTACTTAATTTTGATTACTGGATATATCATCCTCTACTTGTTATTGCTTACTCTACCACTTTTTCTAGCCTTTTGTGGCACCCCTCTCAGCCATAAAATTCAAAACGTGCTGCTATTTGATATCAAACGGTAAAAATAGTTCCTCTTTTCAAGGACCTTGCCACAGATTAAGTCAGAAACACTGTCAAGAGGGGCTATTAAGGGAAGCCGTTGTGAACAGGCATGACACCCCCTTGTGCTCTCACCTAGCTGCTGGAGCAGATAGCGCCTGGTGTTGAAGATGCGCGCCACCCCGGCTAGCGTCAGCACCCAGGTCTCGGCCCACTGCTTTTCGGCCGTGTCGCGCGAGTGGTGGATGAGGATGTTCCCACCACCGGACTCGATCTTCTCTTTGTCCGCCGTGGTGGAGGACGTCCTCACGCAGTCCAGCAGCTGGAAAAGGACCTATGTGGCGCACGGACAGTCTAAATAACAAGTCTGCTGGTCCTCTGATATTATACAGTAAATATGCCTTTTATTTTTTCAGACATCATCCGTCCAAAGTGACTAATTCCGAGCCCGTTACCTTCCACACCACGATGTGCCACGTCGGCTGCTGCAGCAGCGTCCCGTGGGCAGCGATGGTGGAGAACAACGTCTGGCCGGCGCTTTTCCGCACGGCCGGCCGCGGGTCCACGCACAGCTCGCCCAGCTTGGCGTACAGGCACAGCCAGAGGCAGTCAAAGGGAGGGGCGGGGTGGAAAGGCCTGTTGAGGGTTTCCCCTTTCTCCTGGGCTTGCTTCTGGAGGGCTTCCTCCTCCCTTTCCAGCTCCTGGGTGATGGCTTCGCCTCTTTGGAAGAAGTAGTCGGAAATGTTCCACTGTAGGAAGGGAAGAAAAAGAAAAAACGGAAACGGAGGAAGAGAGGAGAAAATATGGAGAGAAAGGTAAGGGAGAGGTTCTGGTTATTTAGGTACCAATTAGTTAAACGGGATTTCATGAGAAAAGCAACACTCTGAGATAAAATATGTTGCTGGTCGAGCGTTTTCTGTATAATGTGTGACGTGGGATCTCACCAGCAGGCCGATAGACGTGAGGCTGATGTTGAGCTCCTGGTTCTGAAGGCCGAAGCTGCCGGCTACCTCTACGACGATCTGCAGGCACGTGCAAGGCATGGTGGGGAGGAAGTCCGTCACCACCAACTGCAGGCACTGGAAGGCTGTTCGGATCAACGACTCGCTGGGGGGGAAGCGGACAGGCGGCCGGTTTAGGTTCTCGGATTGACCTGCGGCCGGCGGATCTGAAAGCCTCGTCGCCGATCGTACCCCTGATCGTTGCGGATGGCTCCTATGACGCCCAACACGAGGGGCCAGCCGGGCCCCAGGCCGTCGCCGTGGCTCTGCAGGATCTGCAGGACGCACTCCAGCTGCTTCTGCCGGATGTCTGCGTGCAGCACGTTGGAGAGCTCCTTTAGGGGGTTCAGCAGCAGGAGCTGCAGCCGCTAGAGAGACGAAGAGGAAGCAAGTGACTTACGGAGCGGCGGGAACCCCAAAAGATTTGGCTTTAATCTGCCAATGATGCAAGTAAAAACCTTTAATGCAAGTGAATGTCAGATGTCCCATTTCTGAAGACAACTTTTTAAATGTCAGTTGAAATGCTGGAAACATAATGAATATACAGTATATATATATATACAGTGTATATATATATAGTCTTGGAGAAGGATTTTAAAAAGTTTACGTTTTTTAAGAAAAGTGCAATAATGCCAAATTTTTCGCATTTTCTCTCATTTTCCTGTTCCATTGACCTGGTTCCTCTGACCTCTTTTAGAGAAGCTCTGCCTATCTGTCTTTAGCTAACTGAGGGAGGGGAAAGTTACAAACCGCATGGAGTTTAAGGGACATACCAGACTAACATTTTATCTTTCATCTGAAGCATTTTAACGAACCGTGGTGAGTCACGAGTCACAGTGGAAGAGTTTCCCCGAATGTCATATGATGGCATTACATATGATTTCAAATAGAATGTAGTTGTGTTATAAACCACTCCAGTCTCACTATAATGCTCCGAATATAGTGACGGCTTTGAGCGGTAAACATAAATTGCTACATATTGTTCCCATTAGATTGTTCTTGACATTGATCCATGGCAATAACATCTTTGTTTCTGGCCTTACGTACCTGATTCTGGGCCAGCATAGGGTCATGTTTGTGAGCGAGCCCCGCTTTTATAAGCGCCGTCAACGCCTCTGCTCCCCACTCTCTCATTCTGGAGTTTGGGTGCTGACAGACCTAAAGAAGACACCAACGCACAGACAGGTATGCAGTGACAGATCTGACACAGAAACAGGGTTTTTTCTTGTTTGTTTTTTTCCCCCCTAGCAGTGATCAAAGTGGAAGGGTGATCTCCTGTGACAGCAGATTGTTGCTGAGGCAGACAGTGTAATCATGAAAGTATAGAGGCACATGGAGAGGTCGGGTTAAGCAAAGAAACACACAAGTTTGATTCAATTTGTTTTGTTTTTTAAAGAAACTTGTTCTTGCTTCTGAGACGCCAAAGTTTAGATCTCTCAGGGGGAAAGCATTTTGTGTAGTGATCTGCATTTGCACCAAAAGACACGGTAAAAGCTAAAGTGCTTTCTTTCAAATGTGAGAGCAGGGAATTTGAGCCGGCTTGCAAAGTAAGATGCTTAAAAGGTTGGTTTAAACAAAGCCCACTTTGCAGGCGCGGCTGTAAAATCTGCTTTTTTGTGATGAATCGGGGGCCGATACACAGCAGTGAGAGACCAAACACTGACAAAAGGCACGTACATGGCAGCGGCCTCTCAGCTCCAACGCTACTGCGTCGGACTGAGAGGGAGACAACAGATTGGAGTGAAGGTAAAAGAGACATGGAGACAGATGGAGGACAGAATCTGAGCTTACCTTCTGCAAAACAAACGGGTGTGCAAAAGAGAGGGGAGATAGATAAAGAAAACTGTGAAGAAAAACTCCAACAAACACTATTAGATATGTAGAGTATGCCTCGTGTCTCATACACACAGATTTAAACACACATGAAGGGCTACAACCTGCCCTTCATCTGTGAAAACGAGTGGAACGGGTGGAACTGTTTTAAAATTGTAAGAGGGCCTCAGCTTTTCCTATTTCTTTCTTAAATATAAACCGGCCTGCTTCAACTCTCCCTACTAGTGTACATTAGCACGTTTTGGGTGTGTTGAGGTGAGAGCAGGGGCTGAAAAAGCAGGACTCATCCACAGTGAATAGAAGCTGCACCTGCTGGTGCTTCTGCTGGCACAGCTCTTTGAATCCATCTGAACAACATCCCATTACCAACTGACGCTTTGGCTGGGGTTGCTTACAGGATGAAAAACAAACAAATACATCAGAAGAAAAAACCCTTCTAAAAGGATCTATTTAAAAATAAATAAATAAAATATATATATATATATATTTAAAAAAAATAAAATAAATATATATATATATATATATATATATATATATATATACATACATATGTATTTTAGCCGCACGTCAGATTTATTCCGTCCAGCAAAAATGATGTGATGTTGTAATCCAATTTCTGGCTGCGTTCCAATAACATGTAGCCTAAAAAACACTATTTTATATATTTTTTATAAACACTGCTAAGTGGGCTCTATTTGTAAAAAGATGGGTACCTCCAACAAGTGCCCCGTCAGCGGCCTCCAAAGTATTTCTATGCGCTCCATGTTGACCAGGCCAGTTTCCAGCAACTTTGCCACTGCAAACAGAGACGGTTCCTGCACAGAGCACGAGCCGCTAGTTAATGCTGGATGCTACTTGTATTTCAGACAGTTTCTCAAATCCAAATGAGAAAAAAAAAAACAATAATAACATGCAAGTCAAACATAGCTCTAGCTACCTTGTTATTTCCATAAGCCATCTCCATGGCCTCCAGAGAGAGGGAGCAGAGTGCATTGATCAAGTGATGCAGCGACACGTCATCCAGGTATCTACGCCACACAAACGATTGTAAATTCCATTTATCAGCGCATTAAATACACTCTGGGCACTGTATTGAGCATAGCAAACAGAAAGCAACTCAATTTTCATTTGAAAACAATTAATAAAAAAAGCTTTACTGGCGACAAGGCTGAAAACCAGAACATAACGGCGACAGTTTTCAGCCCATTAAATGTCACTCAGGGGCCTTAAGAAAACAAAAACTTCAACAAAAAAAAAAGAGTCTGATCCTTACTGGGAGCTCTCAAACAGTCTGGACAGGATGTTGGAGATGACGGGCAGGTCTGTCATCACGGCGGTGGTCAGTACCTGTTTAGGTTGATGGCACAAGCACAGCCGGTGAGCTCGCTCACAAGAAGATCCAACGCATCCAAACACACAAATTGAACACGCAAACGAGGCCTTTTTTTTGTTGTTGTTGCTTTAACTCACCGTGCTGGGTCCTTCTACTGCTCGACCAGGTTTCAGAGCACCACCTGCCCCGGGTTTAAGCCCCAGGATCCAAACCAAATGCTGTTTTGAAAGATAAATGCCAGTTGGAAAAATGAGAATCATAAACAAAGCATTCATAATACAGAGTGTTGCAAAGCAAAAGCAATCGTTCATACTCATAAACTATCAAGGAATATAAAAAGTGTGAATATTGTTCAATTATGTAATTGTGGGCTCGCATTTGTTGAGGCTTACAAACAAATCCGTTCCCTTTACCTGGAGAGTAGCCAGTACCAGCTGCCAGGAGGTGCCCAGCACGGCTCCGTGGCAATGGGCCAGGTTCAGCAGGGTGCGCATGCATTGGATGTTCTTTGCAGTCAGCTAAGAAAAAAACAACAACAAAAAAACAACAGAAAGCGATGCAAAAATTTAATCTAACTTGATTATATGTGCAGTTCAACTGTGATATTAGCAGACGTTCATCTTCAGGACCAACACTCGTGAGCAAAGCGGCATAAAAAACACAAAAACAGGAGCCGCAGCGACAAAAGTGGGGACACGTGAGCTCCGTGTAAACACTAGGAGGAGCAAATGTGATAATACTGCTGTGGGGAATAGACTGATTGCAGCATAATTACTCAGGTCAGGATCACCGTGTGTGCATTCCGAAAGCTTATTTCCCCCGCGGGAAATTTATTTGCACACTCTGGCCTAATGTTATTAACTACTGTCCCCTACCTGAATCGGGCCCCACGGATAAAAAGGTGCCCGTCTGATGCGGCTACTGTTTATGGGTGTTATCTGCAGCTGTGCTCCCCCAGCTCTGTTCCCCCGGGCTCGCAGCCCTAAGTGTTTGCCACGCGTTCCTGCTCCGACAAGCCCAGATCCAAACTAATGGGTCAGGTCCTTTAAACTGTGCGGAAGGCTGACGGAGACCGATGCCCACGGCCAGGTGTGACGAAGCAGGGAAACATGCAAAACGGGCAGAGTGCCCCGCCTCGAGGAGCATTTTATTTTTTATCCGTCAACCTATATGCTCTGAGAGCTAAAGTTTTAAGACGTGGAATTTTATGGGATTCTATCTGTGGATGATATAATACCACACAGAACAAATGACAAAGTTTAGTTATAACCAGACTATTCTATTCAGAGCCGTCCTGTCCTGGTTTCGGCTTAAGAGAAAAAGAATTTGCGAACAACACTGTGAATGAAAATATGAAGTGTTAAAACCGCCTCTTTGTGCTTACCACCACAGTGCCCTGGGGCTGAGCGGCAAGCGGCTGCCCCACGGCCACCACCTGCTGATGCGATTCACTCGAGGGGCTGATAATCTGCACACTTTGGCCCTGGATGGAATAGGCTGAGGACAGCACACACACACACACACACACGTCGGTTAGGTCTTTTCGATGGGGCTCAGGTTTGTAATGAGCTTGTGGCATGCAAGAAAAAAGCCTTCTTAATTAACTCTAAAGGCAAACATCAATCGTGAGTCGAGACCCAGTTTTTGCCAGCTTCATCTTTCCAGGATGATATGCAAATAGAGAAGGTCTGAGCAGCTGGCTTGAGAACAGCTGTGTGTGTGTGCATGTCTGCGGTCCCGTCGTTTCCCGTGAGATTGTAATTAGAGACCCGGCTGAAGAGTTATGGATTAACGCAATAGGAGCGGGAGGCAATAGGGAAAAGGAGCATGCCAACAGTTTACGCATTAAGTACAACAATCCATATGGGAGGTGAAAAGTGCTCATTAATGGGACATAATCACACATGACCAGATTCCATGCTCAGGCCTGACAGGCCCTGCCGTCAGCGGGCTGGGGGGTTAGGCACCTTTGCTGGAGAGGTTGGCGGCGTTGCTGCTCAGAACAGTCAGGGCGTAATGGGGGGGCAGGGAGGCCTTACAGATGGCGGTGATGAAGGCGTCCCGAGGCGTCACGAGGCCCAGCCGGCCGCAGAGCGAGGCCATGGTCAGCTCTGCCTTCAGGATGCTCTCCGTGGCCGACTCGTCGGTGCTGAGGACGCAGGGAGAGGAAATGCAGAGGATTCGTCAAACGGTCCCATTTCCAGACAGGTTTAAAAAGCGTTCAAAGCACACAACGTCATTTCTGAAAACCTTTAAGCATAACTTCTCCAAGACGGCTTTTCTGTCAGCTATGTAAACATCCTGTCTTGTTTGATTGATTTCTCAGGATTCTGTTAGTTTAAACATGTGACAATACAAATAATCGGAGGTGGGGGGGTTCTTACCTGGCATCCAGCAGCAGAGACAGAGCAGCCAGCAGACCACACCAGCAGGCATTCACCATCTCCTCCCACACAAGGTGGGACCCTGACACAGAGAAAGAATCTCTCACTGGGGGTTTTCTGCACTTCTTTCGTTTAGTTTTTGGAAAAAAATGTGTGTATCTCATCGTATCTCATCGACCAGTGCTTTTTACTCTGTGACTCTTCTTACCAGCTTGTGGCTTAAACTCCTGATCGGGGTGATTCTCCCTGAACTCCACGGCAGCCTGCTCCTCCGCGGACAGCTCTCTCTCAATCATGGAGGTGATGCCCCTCACCAGGTCCAGCAGGGCGCTGAAGGCCACTGACATGGCGTAGCCTTCTGGGATGGATGGCGGCTCCACTTTGTCCAGCATCTCTAAACTGGGGAAAGACAATCGGAGAGAGCGAGGTGAAGGAGGTGGAGGAATTCTGTATTTGTGTTCACAGACAGTGGCAGACAGAAAGAGGAAGTGTCTAAAGTGTGGAGTAACGGTTCTCACTATGTAGCCTTGGCGCTGCCTTGGACGCTGACGGTCATGAGGGGGATCCAGGTCCCGCGGTATTCAAACGCAGCCTGGGTGGTCAGGGCGCCGCTGGACCCTCCTGGCCCTTGGCCGCCTTGTGCTGCTCCCTGAGGCCCCGAACCCGACCCAGCTGGAGGGGCGATGTGGAGGATAAAACAAATAGATGGTTTAAAAGATGCCCTGAGTGTTGCTTTTACCTTACGGATGTGTATTATGTTGTGCACTGACCAGCCGGGGCGCTGACCGCTGCGGGGTTGCCCGCATTGGGAACGATGAAGAGAGACTGAATGAAGGAGCCGAGGGCGTTCACGATGTCCCTGAATACCTTCGTGGAGTGCTGCTTCATGTCGTACGACTGGCAGAACGACCTAAGGCGGAAAAGAGATCACTTGTCAGCCAAATGAGCTCAAACCATGCACAGAGCACCAGAAAGAGCTGCTGGTAGTATTGTTTCAGACTATTAGACCGAGCTCAGTGGCCTTGAACAATGGCTGCACACGGACAAAACTGACTGAAATGTAACGATCTGTCTAGTTGTGCTTAACCAGGAAGATCCATGCCAAATTTACCACATGCCCATTCAACTGTTAAGTGTAAAAGTAATGAAATAAAATCCCAAAAAGACATTAAAATCATATTTAGGTGATTCCTAGGGCTCACCGTAACAAATGAGGCTGCACGCAGAGCCGGTGGACCGACTCCACGGCCACCGCTCTGAGCCACTGGGGCTTCTCCCCGTCAAGAAACTTCACCAGCAGAGACAAGAAGATCTCACACTCAGTCACCTGTAGAATAAACACACAAAACAGAGGTAAGGGAAAAAATACAAATAAAAAATCCCTACTCTGCCTTAAGAAATGTGTAGCAGTGTCTTGATTTCAGGCTCCAGGACCGATCGCCAGATTCTAAATTTCAGCAAAGCTCATTAAACTGCAACCCAGGCACAAATGTATGAGACTAATCCGATGCTAATAAGGCCAGATCAATCAAGTGCATCAGCCCTGTGCTTAAGAGAATTCCTCTGCCTCAAAATGATCCATCGGGCAACATCTTTAAGCTGCTGACCACTGCAGAGCAGCACCTCACCAGTAAGCTGTAGAAGTGCTTGATGAGGACCGAAACCACTCGCAGCAGCCTCATGCAGATCGGAAAGTAGGGCTTCTCCACAGGTGCCGGTGAGGGGGTGCTGCTGCTGCCCTGCCGGAACTTGATGTTGGGCGAGAAGAGCTTGATGACGAGCGGACACACCCTCTCTTTGAGCAAGAAGCTGAACTCCTGGTGCTGAATGGAAAAAAACAGAATTGAATGTAGGGAGACTAAAATGGCCTAATATGTTGATCTAAAAAAGATAAAATGTAGGCACCTGTAGGAAAACCCCGGGGAAGTCATTCAGAACGGACTCGAGCAGCTCCAGGCCAAATGTTCGGGTCATCTCCGTCATGCCCACCAGCCAGTAGGGGGCATCCGCGTTGACCAGCTGGCACAGGTCCTGTAGAAGAGGCACCACATTCAAGACAAGGGATTGTTGTGTCCTACGCACATCACACAGGATAAACGCTGTATTCACTGAGCTTTGCTGGAAGGAGAAACATCCTCACACAGAGGCCCCAGTGTGGGTGAACGATAACAGAGAGCCTCACTTTGAAATTGTTCTAAAATGGCTTTCAAATTGAGTTACAATAATTATGACAATATAGTGGCTATTTTGTTTGTTTCTATTGCTTCAGTCCACTGATGATGAGATCGTGAGCCTTATCCAAAGCCGAGTAAGTCAGGAGGCTGGTTCATTAGGGCCAAAGCACAACAAAGAGGGCTTCTGCCACCTGGTGGACATACCTGAAACAGCATGTATGCGTCTTTGGCGCTGGGTCTCAGAGTGCTGACCGACCGCCGGTTGGTGTTTCCCTGGACCGGAGGAGGCTGCTCCACGATGCCTTTTTCGGAGGGGCGGGGAGCAGTAACAACGCATGTGCATTTGAGCGATGTGCAGCAACAGTGTAAAAGGCGAAGTTTTCGTTTATTGTCTCACCTTTGAAGCGCTCGTCCTCAGCCACCATCCTCTCGAACACCACGGTGACCACCTGCCTGACGGTGGCGGCCGCCGTGTTGTTGGTGATGTTGTCCTTGGTGAAGTGCAGGCGGAAGCACAGCACGATGGCCTGTGTGACCACACACACACGCACGCATTAAACACACACATAGGTCTGAGACACTGTCGGTAAAGGCTCGTGGGGCTCCTGTTACCTTGGAGAGCACTTCGTCGTGGACCACCGTGTTGGTGGTGAGGAGGACCAGCACCGTCTGCAGCAGCTTCAGCTCCTCCAGTCCGTTTTCCATCAGCTGCCACAGCATGTTGATGATGTTCCCCGCCGCCGCCTGTTGGGCACAGGGAAAGGCGTCGGTGCAAAACCCGATAGGAGACTGGGACGAAGGCGCGGCGTGGTGGGAGCAGCTGGTGGGCTCCGCTCTGCTAACGGCCGACCGCCAGTTAAGCCTGACGCTGACATCAACTGACACCGCCTGTCCTCTTTTTTTGTGGGGCCGAGTTGGCCAAAATAGACCCGTTCTGCACGCACATCCTGGGAGTGTTTTTTTATGTGAAGTGGCAGGTAAACTTTTGACCTAGAAAAAAAGGATTTTGGGGCGTTTGGTTTCAGCCTTTGGTTTTCTCTGTTCAGATAGCCTTTTCTTGACCTCTTTGCATCTTCCTATCATTCTTCAGAGGTTTGGATGTCACATCATTTCTAATAAGACGGATTTTTGGACAGTAGGATTTTAAAATGGTGACTGTCTCGTTCCTGCATTGCTTAAAGCCGCCATTCAGAGGTAATTCAGTGCGTTCTGCCACTTATCCAACTGTTTTCTATAAACACGTCTGAGGGGGGCGCTTCTCTTTCCCCCAGGAAGCAAAACGCCTACTAACATGTTCCCTTCACTTGTCAAAACAGCCATGGCGACTCCCTCCTGCAGAGGCAGTTTGTCCTTCTTCCCTGTGGCCTTCAGCTTTCAAAATTAAAAAACAAAAAAAAATGCAAATGAACATGCCTTGTATCCTAGACTTCCTACAGAGTGAGAGCTGCCACTCAAGCCACCATAGAGAAGTAGGGGAGAGGGCATTAAAAAGGAAATGAACAGCAAAAAAACAAAAAAAAACTCCTGAATCTGCAACTTTATCCGAAGAAACTGGCCTCGTTCACTTTATTTTACATCGGTGTGTTTCTTCCCCCAAGGGAAGATGCTTGGAAACCTATTTCAGTCTAATTAAATAAACGCCTCGCATCAAAATGCAGAGAGCGTGTCTCGGCTCAATGAGCTTTTAATAAGTCTTTTAAGAGGTGTGCGGCTCCTTGGAAACAGCTCTGATATCAAGCCTGACTCTGGCTGGGGTTATTTGAAGGTTCCCGCTGCTTCTCCTGTCCGATGAGCTGGTATTAAACCACATTTTCATTTGCAAAGTAATTAAGGTCACCCTTTTTTCTTAGATGGACTCCGTATTTTAACAAGCTGCTACTGCACGTGTGGACGGAATGCATGGGAGCTGGATTAAATAAAAGAAGGGATCCATCCTTAGGTTGCAGAGCACCCTCACAGGGCTTCATGAGTGGGATCATAATGTAATGCTCCTGTTCTGCCTACATAAAAACATCCACCTGACATGGGAGCAGCTTGCGGTTCTCACCTCAGACACCACTTCGTGGGACATGAGTCTCTGAATGGCAGCGAGGCACAGCTGGGTGATCTTTGGCTCTTTGGTGCCACAGCCCATCAGAAAAGGCTGCACCACCTCGGAGCTGTTCTCCTTCAGGGCTGCACCAAAAAAGAAAAAGACACGGGCTTTAGACAAAATGAAAGACGGATAAAATGCCTGAGAAAAACAAAAGCAATACAAAAACATAAACCAAAATACCAAGTCAGCTCATTTGAAAGCATTCCCTTTTAAACTGTTATACTATTTTCTTACAAATGGGCAAATTTTACTTCAAAGTTCTTTTGGACCACACAAAGTTGAGCTCCATTTTCAGATTAATAAACATTGTTACGGTTCTATGTGAAAATATTAAAGTTTTCTGGTTATGTACGGTTCCCGAAAGGTGGCTGGATGTTTGACAGAAGTTGCTGGGATTCGCAAAAGTGGACTACGTGTCAGCTCTGCATAAGCCACAAAAAAAAAAGGAGTAGTGTCGGAAAGCTTTGTCGTGAAACTGAAAAAACGAAAAAAGAGTTATCGAACAACAGGTTTGGTGGAGCAATCTGTGCACAACTTTCATCAGACTGACTAAGTACTAAAAGTTAAAAAGCTCATTCTAAGCAGATATAGAGAGGTTAAAATAGAGTGGTTAAAAGAAAATGTGTTCAGGTGTGCCCTTCAGAGGGAAATGCGAATTAGTTACAGACACAATACCAAGGTGGTGAAAGTCTGAACACATGTAGGGTTACTGTAAGCCGAAAGCCCCTTAATTATCATACAAGACAGTCATGAGGGTACACTAAACCATGATAACCATAACTATAGTGTATCCAGGCCAAGGGTAGGGTTTTAAAAAAAAAATAATCCACTCATCATTTTCAGACCAGAGAAAGTAGGTCACACCTCCTCTGCTGCACGGTGCCACTCACCTGCCAGTATGTCGGTGTTTCTGGCCGCTATGGTCTTGATCTTCACGATGCCGGACTCCGCAGCCTGGATGGGAGCAGAGCAGGGACACTTTTAGCTTAGCATTGTCAGAGAAAGTGTCTCAGCAGAGACTGATGGTAATGGGCGCAAAACGGGGAACGTGACCGGCTTAAACGTTTAGCTATTTCCCCAATGGGACGTCCAACAAGCATCAACAAAATATTTTTTTCAAATAAAACAGGAACGACAAGAAAGAGTGGTGACATGGAGGGTAAATGGGAGTACGTGGGGGAAATAGATGTCGAGTTCAAAGCGAGGCTGTTCTTATCTTTCTGCACGCACCGAAGGCCGGGACCAGCCTGTGGAGACCTCGTCCTCCGCTAGCTCTAGACCTCCTTTAAGGTCCGTTCTATCTTCTCACTGCTGCTGCTTCTATCGTCGTCTTTTCTGAACGGATTCTACCAGAGAGGGTCTGCGGCAGGGTATAAAATCTCTCCTGCTCGGACAGAAATATGGCCTTCCCCTGCTGCTTTTTCTGCTTTTTCTGCTTTTTCGTTTGGACGTATAACCAGAAAATCAGATGCATTTTGCACTCAAATGACCAAAAAATATGAATAATTTATGAATAAATTTCCCTTTGGGGATGAATAAAGCAATCTGTATATCTGAAAAGTATTACAGCGTCTGGTACTCAGGAGTGAGTCGTGGCCCTTTGGGGCGGACACCTTTGTAGGAGGCGACTGCCGCGGCTGACCGTGGCGTCTGTGACATTTGGCCACCGGGCTGACCGTCCCGCCTCGCCTCGCTATCGTGAGGTCAAGGGACGACTTGGTTACCAAGCGACGGCAGAGCGGCGGGAGGGGACTCGCCACGAAGGCTGTTCTTGGCTCACCGACCCCCACGGCGCCTTGAGAAGTTTCCTCCCCGATAAAAAAAAACAGCTCTGAACCGCCGTGAGTTCCGAGCAACGGGACAGAGACAGACAGAGAGAAGTGCTCAGACACGCTTTCTCAGACGGTGACACAATTTCACAAGTCCTAATGAAACGTCTGCGGCGTCCTTTGCTCAAAAAACCACAGACAGCAGCTCACAGTTCTGGATGTGCTGACACAGAAGTTTACTGCAAATCTGAGCGGTTCATTTCACCTATTGAACCTTTTTTTTTTAAAAGTCATCCCCCGTAGAGGAAAATGTGGGGGTCAAGTTACGTGCGTCTCCTCTACAGAGGTGCGACAGTGAATGGAGATTGGGTTGGCTAATTTCAGCTCTTATCGGCAGACTTGTTCGTTTTGGATGAGCCAAAAGCAGAACCGATACCACACTTGCAGAGCGGCTCTGGTGTTTCACAAGCGCCACACCACCGTCCACAGTTTCTGCTGGGCCCACGTGAACTGTGGAGGAATTTAGCAAATGGGCTTTTTCTTATCTTTTTTTTTTGTACCAGCTTTCCCGAAACACGAAGCGACATTTAGCCAGCAAGACACGAATGAACTGAGGGCACCTGGGCAGGAGGGCAGGGAAAGGTCTGGAGACGTTCTCCCTCAGAAAGAGCCAAGCTCTGGTGCCGTTTCTTTGCATTGTGCTGCAGACTCTTTCTTTGGTGCTGGCCGTGATTAAATGTCATGAGAGGAAGAATTGCTGCAGCAGAAAGAGGATTTGCTGGGAAAAAGAAGCTGAAACTGTCTCTTTCTTCATAATGCTCGCACACTGATTAGTGATGACGTCTTAAATGACTTCTTGTCTGACCTAAGACCTAAAGAACATGGAGATAAGAGAAAATAGCAGCGGCCGACAGACATCCCGGGAAAGCTCAAAAGGAAGGCTCGGAAAAGGCCGATCCAACCCCAGCAGAGACACATCGGAGAGCGGGCAACAGATGTGAGATCAGATGTGAGATCAGCTGTTTGTTTGTTTGTTTTTTTTCCCCCACAGCCCGCGGCGGCTGGCTGCCACGCATATCACTTTCAAACACCGGGGCGGGGGAACACAAAGGCAGCGGGAGCCCTGGCTAAGCCAGGGGTCGCTTCTCATTTTAAAGCGGCTTTTATTCAGCGCTCGGGCCGGAGTACGCACGTCCCTGCTGAGCTGGCTGACCGACGTTTCTATGGCCACAAAAGCCAAACACCACTGTTGATGTTTGGGCAAACTGGCAACTTCTTAAGAGTGAAGAAACTCCAGCCGGTACCAGCTGAATTGGGCAAACGCCTGGCCGTCTTCCTTATGTTCAACCACAGAATAGCATCAAATTTCCACTCAGTCGCGGCTTTCTTGCGGCTGGTGTCATGTAACATCGGCCCTAAAGATTGCGTAACGTTTGGCGCGCCTCAAGACAACACCAGGCGTCCAGATGTTTGCGAGCGCGGGTCCCCCCCAGAGCCAGGACCGAGGCAGAGGACGCACGCACGCACGTCCGTACAATGACCCTCCTTGTGCTTCTGGGTCCTCACACGCAGTCACAGAGTCACTCAGCTGGCACCAACAGAGCAGCAAGTCATCCCGAGCATCACAGGAGGGGCTGACGGACCCCCCCACTCCCCCCCGTTCATGTTGTGAAACACACCCATGATGGAAAATCTTAACACTGATTCACAGGGGTCAACAAAAGCACAGCGTTTTTCTTCGGCTGCTACTGGCTGGCCCCAGCAGACGCCGTGCCTACAGCAGACTTCTGGAAACTTAGCGTACTCGCGCGCCTCACAGTCAAACAAAGCTCTTATAGATTGTCTTCAAGGCCCTCAAACGCACCGCACAGCGATTGGGTCGGCTGAGAGAGCCCCGTCTGATTGTCTGGCGGGTTTGGCAGAGGGTGTCAGGTACAGAGAGCTGGTGCGACGCCCCCAAATTCATCAGGCCACATAGAAGTACGACACTACGACACCCAGCAGACAGTTTCTTCATCTTAATATTCATGATAGCTTGTCAGCATAAGTTCTGTGCTTTTCAAATAGAGCTACTCGGCACATTTCAACATTTTTGAGAGGGATGATAAGCATTTTCTGAAGGAATGAGGCCGACTTCAGGACCCAAACCTCCTCCTGACTGGGAGGAGGTGGGACTGGGGCTGCTTTGCTGCCTCCTGGCCTTCACAGTATGCAGCCACTGACAGCATAGTGAACTCGTAAAACAGGGTCAGCCGTCTATGACCCCAGGCTCAGGAGAGGAGCTGCATTGGTAGACGCTGTCACGCATTTCTGTGGCCACCCCTTTGATGTTTCTTTCCGCTGGCTTGTTGAGATTGAGCCTGTGTCATAAAAACCTGCAATACTGATGTCTCATCCAGACGGGTCCTGCCCAGGTAACCCTCTGAGGGATCTTCAGCATTGCTAACCACAGAGATCCTCCCTGCATTTCACACGCAGGAGCGGGCTGGACTCAGTCAGGATTATGAGAGAAAACAGCTTGATAAACAGAGGAATGCTTCAAATACAGGACTGCTGGTATACAGAAACAATTCAGTCCAAACGTGTGGCACGAACAAACTGAAACAAACTCAACAGTTGGGTTTTCAAAATGTGAAAAAAACCTTCGCCAGGCATTCTAGGCTGCGATGGACCGAGGGGAAATCTCAAGGCTGATTCTGTGAATATAAAGAAGAAAACTTCCTGGTATGGTGCAGCTGTCTTTGGTTTGTGCTATCAATTGGTTTGTCACTCCAACCTAAAGCAAAGCTGAGAGAAAATATGTAAACCTGGCCATAAGAAGCACAAACCCGTATGGGTCAACCAACATTCTCAGTCAGTGTCACCTCAAATGGCTTTTTACTGGTATGCAGACACCACAGGAAACAAGTGGAGAACCTGTCTGCTTTCTCCCTAAAAACACACGGCGTGACAAACCGCCAAACACCTGTGAACCCCTCCATTGGAAGCTAGCGACCATGGCAAACAAAACTTTTCATTCACACGCATGGTCTGGGGACAACTTGGGGAAACTCAGCAGGTAGCAGAGAAAAAGGCCTGGTGGACAAACGGGCTAAAGGCGGGGAGGACCGCCGTAAACCTTTTTTTTTTTAACCAAAAGGCTCAATATTCACAGCCGGGACAGGGTGCAGAACACTACAGAAACGGCTGGTTTAAGCTAACTAGCCGGCTAACCTCTTTGACAGGAGGGAATTTCTTCTTGCACTCCATGGAGAGAGACCGCAGGTCCGTCTGCATGTTCTCCAGCAATCTCTTCACCGCTTCGGGGCTGCTGGTCGACATCTTTGACAGCGTCCGCGACGGAAATCTTGACGAAACTTTACACGTTAGGGAATGCGGGAGCGCTGTTTCCCCCCCCACCCATTCACCGCAGGGGTTGTAATCCGTTGCTACTTTATGCGTCTCCCTCGGAAAAGAAAACAAATTCGCCGCGGTCCATGGACACTGTACCCCGCTTCTGTGCTTCGGGCACCCGTGCGCAGGAGGGCAGCGATGACACCGGCATACGTTCCCCCCCTCTAAAGCCCAACGGCAATAGCTCCGCAAAGTAGCATCGTTACTGGAAGTTTCTGGCTCCGAAAAGCGGTCACAAGTCGAAGATATTAGCTAAATTGAGCTGTCGGCTATCGGCGGCCGTGTCAGCTCTACTTTCCTTCCCACAATGCCTCGGTGGACAGTGACACGTCACGAGGACTTCCGTAAACAGTGATGGGCAGAGAAAAATGTCTGCAGCGCCCCCTGCTGGAGGATCATACATTTGTAAAAGACGTCAATTGATTTGAGGAAAAAAGAGTAAATGTCAATCTGCAAAACAGAAAGATTCATGGGAAAACAATTTCTGGCATTAAAAATGGTTTCATATTTAATTATTTATTACTCCTTTGTTTTTTTATGGAAGGTGGCTTCAAGTAAAAAAGACAACAATTCCCTACTTTCACAGTTTTTCATCCAGGAACAACAAAATGCATCCCACCACTGAGATTTTGTCACAATTCCACACTTTTACATTATATTTTGGATTGTTTCAAGTTTCTCCTTTTTTATGTTTTTTTTGTAACGATTTGTATTGTTACCTTGAGTTTCACATTTCCAATTTCACCTTCTGAGCTAATTGTTCTGTGGATTAGTAACTGTTTCTATCACCATTGCCTTTTAACAGGAGCATGACATATTAAATGGTGCCTTTTTCCTTGTGAATGTTTTTTTCTTTCTAATTTAATCTGTGTCAAATGAAAAAATACATATACAATTCTCACACTAGTATATTGCACGAATACTGCATGACTGTAATTCTATGCTTTTTAAATGTATGATATGGTTCTCAAAGAGGAATTAACTTAAACAATATCCATGTTTTTCTTTCTTTTTCCACCGAAAAGATCAGTTAATAAAATCCCACAAAATACAAAACACACCTCTCAAATTAAGGTAACTTTATTCAGTCACAAAAAAACATAGAAAAGTTATTTATCCCAAAGTGTTCCGTATCAGTGATTACTGATCATACATTGCTCCCAACTTTACAAAAAAAAAAGAATTAAATTGAAGCCCCTTGTTCACAGCAGAAAAAGATCACAAGCTAGATGCTCTTTCATTGGAATGAAACCCTTCATCCAGCCGCTGCCGTTCATATCAAGAAAGTACTGTTCAGTGTCCTTTTGAATGTCAAACAAGACGTTTCAGTGCATTAGACACAACCTAGGCAACCCAGCAGAATTACAAACAAGTCAACATCAAAAGACAACCCAAAGGAAAAAAATCTGAAAAAAGAAAATGTTAAAGTAGCTTGAAAAATACTGAATCATCCATCCTTCCAGTGTCCCACTTAATCCAGTTCAGTGTCGTCTGGGTGGGGGGCTGGAGCATATCCCAGCTGTCATTGGGGGAGAGGGTTTATCACAGGGCCATACAGACTCAAAAGAGACACACAGCCATGCACACTTTCACGTAAGTCAATTTAGGGACACCAATGAACTAAACATGCGTACACCTGGATGTGGCAGGAGGAGGACGGGGATTTAAGATCGAACCTTAGGTTATGCACTGATAACAGGTATTTGAACTGTAAACTCACTTGCTGTTCTCAAAGGCACAACCCCCTGTCCCCAAAAATTTATGTGAAACAAAAACCACAAAACGTAACTGAAATGAAACAAGCTTAATGTACATTTACAACAAAACGCCAGCACTCTCAAAGATTGGTTATGTCTTTATAGTTTTACACAGGAACTTTAACATCCTGAGGTGAAGTTTTTTCCACTGTACAACAAAAAAAGTTCTGGACAGGGTGAGGTGTGAGTGTAAGCGCGCACTGCACTCATTAGAAGGGCTCAGTTAAACACAAGTGGGTTATTCGGGTTAGCTGGTACGCCTGCGCAGTGGTGGGACATTTCCTGTGTTCCATCTGCTGAAGGCGCTGTAGTTAGAACCAAGAAAGTGACTTGAGATCATCAAGACTAATTGAACATTAGAGATGTCCATAACAGATGAAAATGCTTCCTTAGAAAGCAAACAAACGCAAACTTAAATGACTTGCCACCGCGCACTCACAGTGGTCACTTTTTCAAACGTACACATTACTCTTTCCTGTGTTAGCCAGCTCTCCAAAGGAGATCTGGAGATCAATCTGAGTTTGAAGGCACCATACAAGGAAGAAGGCTCCAGCAGCAAGAAGGCCATTGAAGGTTGGGTGCCTCTGGAAGTCTGGATCTGCGCTTATTTCAGCACCTTGTCTGGTGAGGTATTACCGAGAGAAAGTGTCAAAACTGAGGAGTGACCTTTGACTTCCGCGAGACTCCATCCCCCAGATCTCTAGCAATGAGACTCCTTTTCGGCGACAGGGAAGTAGCCGTCCTTAGTGGGAAGAGCTTTCTGCTGGAGGCCGTCCCCTTCTGCTGCGTAAATGGCCAGCAGCCTCTCCTGCTCCTGCTTCGTCTTTGGTAAGTCGGGGGAAGGAGTGGTCAAAAAGGTGAGGCGCTGCGGATGGTAGAGATCAAAACAGTGGAAATATGAGGCATTTGGTGACAGACTCTGTGATGGAAACCTTAACGCTCTACTTGAAGCAAAGCAAGTGTGACAGACAAGAGCAAGACGATTGTCTGCACCAACCTTGCGTGCCTGTCTGGATCTGATCTATTCTGCTTAAATTCAGCTTCTATTCTGCTTAAGAAATCTCCTTGATACAAACAAATCTGGGTTAAAAAATGGCCACTCTCCTGAAAAAATTCAAATGACCCTGGCTTGGTCACACTTCTGCAGTGCACCATCCTGCCACAGGGGTTCCTCAGGGTTCAGTACTGGGACCTCTTCTCTTTGCCATATACACCACCACGCTGGGCCAGATCATTCAATCACATGGTTTCTCATACCACTGTTATGCTGACAAAACCCAGCTCTATCTGTCATATCCACCTGATGACCACACAGTCTCAATACGCATCACAGACTGTCTCTCTGACATATCAAAATGGATGAAAGCCCATCACCTCCAACTAAATCTCGCAAAAACTGAACTGCTTGTTTTTCCTGCCCAACCAACCATACACCACAATATCCACATCTAGACTGGATCCCTGTCTCTGACTCCATCAAAGGCAGCAAGAAACTTGGGTGTCGTGACTGATGAGCAGCTGACCTTTAAAGATCATGTTACCTCCGTTTCTCTATCTTGTCGCTTCACACTAATAAAGATAAGAAAGATCTGGCCATACCTAATCCAACATGCTACCCAGCTCCTGGTGCAGTCTATGGTTATCTCACGCCTTGACTATCATTTCATCATTAGATTTTCCACCTTCGTATCAATTGTTAATGAAAATTATTCAAGGTGCTATTGTAGTTTACATGCAATGCGCTCTGTCATATTGGGCAACAACTCATAAATTAAATTTTACTTGAAAAAAATGGGAAATTGTTTTTGATATGAGGGAATTTTGCGAATATTTTTGCTTATATTCTAATAGAAGCTTATACAACATACTCATAAACTGGAAAAAGCACGAAAAGCAAACTTTTTCTGAGTGCCTGCAAGCGATGACACACACTAAAATGCTTACTTCTCTCAGGGTTCCTGGGGTGTAGTAGAGTTTTCCTGCCACCCAGAGAGGGATGCAGAGCATGGATGACAGAGCCAGAATCCAGCCAATCCCGTGGCCCCACCACGGGTACACGTACTCATTGTTGTACTTCAGAGGTGAGTACTTAATCAAAGAAAAGGCAAAGGTTCCCTGAGTGACAGAGAAGGATATGTTATGATTACATGAGGATAGATAAAAAAACAGGAAAAGAGGTGAAAAATTCACACCATAGCAGATAATCAGGATATGTTATACTTTAAATGATACCAATTTTACCCCTGTAGGTTATCCAGTACATAGATAAGGGGGTATTTGATCATTGGAGGTACTTAGCAAATTAGACTGCATATCTAATCCTGACCAGCAGAGGCTGCTCCTCTTTAAGAAGAATAGTGTGAAAGTGTGAATGCTTGATAAGAATTAAAACCCACAAAGCACGTGGCCGGGGTGAAGATCAGCCAGCAGTATTTGATGACAGGGCTGGGTCGATAGCCAATCATATCCTCAATGTTGTCATAGAAACGATCCGCTCCTGTGACCAGGGAGAAAATGAAGATGCAGTGGATACAAGTGCCAGTATCTACCTGTCATTTATTTCATCTGCTAACTACAGCTTCTCAAGGTATACCTGTGGAATTATCGGCTTTAGTGATGTACTCACCATAAATCCAAGCAATGCAACCTGTCTCAAAAACAGCCACAAAAAGCAAACACATTCCACTGGCGGCATAGTAGTCAAAAAGCTGGAAGATGTACATGCCTCCCTGTAGGCAAAAAACAGATCAGAGCCACGTCAGTTTGACAGAACTCTTGCCTCAAGTAAGGCTAAAATATCACAGCCAAGAAAGTATATCCCTGGAAGTAAACTTTGAGGCCCCTCTCATTTCAGGTCTATATCCATTTGATGTTTTCTGCCTCTCTCCTGTAAAAATGTGGTAATTTACTTTTCAGTTTCACCCTGAGCCCTTGGCTTTTGAACAGTCAGAGCAGCATGATTTGTTTTTTTTTGTGCGGTGCTGATACAAACCTCTGTAAGCATGATGAGCCCCATGAAGAAGGACACCACAGCAATTGCCAGGATGAAGAGCTCCCTGCGGTTTTTACGGCGGAACACGGAGGGATACATGTCCACCATGGCTGTCACAAGGCTCTCCACACACACAAACTAGCAACGGACAGAAGCAATTAAACAAAAAACATTATCTTTATATGTTTGTGTTTGCTAAACTGTCCATTTGAAAAGCAGCTATGACAAAGGACGATATTCTTTTGTGTGCGATTTAGGGAATATATGCTGTGCTCACCTGACTGTCTAGTCCCAAAAAGACAATCATAATGAAGAAGCAACAGGCCCATAGAGGTGAAAATGGCATCATGGACACAGCACGAGGATATGCAATGAAGGCCAAACCTGGACCTAAAACACAGATCCCATTGATGTATTAAGCTGATCCACTTATCAAAGCAAAGATAAAAATTTACTGACAATACGCTCAGAGCTGTGCTCTAAAATGCATGTTAATGTACTATATCATGGACTGTTCTTGAAATATGGACAAAATACCTTTATTGTAACCAAGAAAACTCAAAACTCTAGCTGTGCCCAAAGTGAAGGGCCAAAATATTACGTTTCCCCCTTGATAAATTGTGTACGTGATAAAAGAAGGACAAACCAGATTCCGCCACTTCAGATATGGGCACATCTTGCTCAAAGGACATGAAGCCAAGGATGGAGAAGATGGCGAAGCCAGCAACAAAACTGGTGCCGCTGTTCAGGAAGCAGAGGGACAGACAGTCCCTGGAAATAACACAAACAACATGATATTCCAGTTAGAAAAAGCACATGGTAATGGACTTAGACTAGTGCCCCGGTCTAGGCTGTGGACCTAATTAATGTACGAGGTCTATATATAAAAAAGTGATGATCTTTTCCTTGGATGCATTTGATGGGCAGTTAATGATGATTCGAATTTTACAACACAAGCCATTACCTGTAGCAGTTATTGTTGTATTTGTTATAACTCCCCAAGGCGGTGAGGCAACCCAGACAAATGGCATAAGAGAAGAAAATCTGCGTTCCAGCGTCCATCCATACCTTAAAAAAAAAGGGAACAAATTTGGAAAGAGGGGAAAATTCCAATCACTAAACCTCACACCAGCAGGAAAAACACATTTCTGATTCAGTGATGTGTTTTTACACTGTCAAAAGTTACTTAGTTGAAGCACAGATACACCCTAGGGAGAGTTAGTTGTGAAATGTGTACAAGGCCCCAAAGATTCATCACTGCCATCAGTCAGTTTGAGAGCGGCTCTTTTGAACTCTGCAACACTGCAGGGCTGATAGGGTGTTGTGCCCCATTCTCTTTCCTCAGGGCACAGAACTGACTGACATCCAAGTCAAGCTTCCTAGAAAAACCTTTAACCTCACCGTCACCCTTTGAAACATAAAGTGCAGCGCTTTAAAAAAAAAAAAAGAAAAAATCTCTCCCTCGCATTTTAAAATTCTAATTAGTCTTTTTTTTTTTTCCTTCTTTCAGTTCTGTTAAAGAGTTCCCAGAGCACTGGAGCATGTTGGCAGCCAGGACTGAGGATCTGATTGACTGGGGGTCCAACACACAGCCCAAGCGCTGGACACAACATCACACAAAGGCAGATACTCCCAAGACACAGATTCCACCAGCATAGCTTGACTTGGCCAGCACACATGGGGTTCTTATTCATCCCCTGAGAGGAAAGGAAGAGGGAGGGGGGAACGGGAGGGGGGGGGGGATTTAAGATTTTCATGCATGAAGAGGAGGTTTTAGGGGCATCAGTGACCATAGCGCATAAGATTGAGTTTTTATCAACTAACACTGAATTTGAGGATGGAGGTGAGAGCAAAAAAACAACTGCAAACAAATGCTATGCAAGATTCAAGAGGACTTGTCTAGTCATGTCTGATCACGTTGAATATGTTGGTGTGTGGCCTGAAACAAATTTTCAAACAAATAAAAAAGCCAAATAGGAAGTGGAAGTTTGGACGTATTGCTCTGGATGTATTTGCTTGATCTAGATGACTAGATGTGTAAAGCAAGTGACCTGGTTTGAGCTTATGTTGTAAACCTTGGAAAGTTAAGTTAGGCAACTGGCTGGACGATGCTTGACCGAGTTTGACCATGAACTGGATGACTGAGAATCTTCACAGATAGCTTATTTTGTACCTTTGCAAACTATTAAAAGGCACATGGACATTAATGCCCGGTACTTTTACTAGGTTTGTTCCAAAATTTTAGCACCTAGTATAAGTTAAAGGTGTAAATTTGTGGTCAGGTTTGAATTTTATTTCAACTGACCTGTGGATCAGACAGCCGTCCCAAGTCCGGGTAAAGGTAGAAGTGGATTCCCCTGGAGGCGCCCGGCAGGGTGACCCCCCTGATCAGCAGGATCACTAGCATTACATAAGGGAATGTGGCCGTAAAATAAACCACCTGCAAGAGAAGAAACCACCATCATCATTTTGCCCTATATTTGCCAGTCAAATAATCAAGTTCAAGGTTAATTTAATGCAAAGGAAACCTCATTACGGATTTCAGGATTTTTAATCTAGAAGGAACACTGTGGAAAAACTCCTTAATGAACAAAACAGCTAAAGATATTCTTTTGGTTTCCTTTGTTCGGGGGACATTTTCACCTTGCCAGTGGATTTGACTCCCTTCCAGATGCAGAAGTAGCAGATGACCCATGCAACGGCCAGACAAAGAACCAGATCCCAGTTCAGAGAGCCGATGTGGTCGATACCTGAAGAAATTCTCAGCACTCTGCGCCTGAGTGCACACACGGAACAAATGTCAGAACCGTCTCATCCTCTGTTTCAAATCATTAGATTTGTAATCGACAAAAAACAACCAGATGGAATAGTTTCTGATGGAGATTTCTTTCATTTTCTTGCGTTTACAGTGTCTTGAGAACATGGGTAAACAAAAAGGCTCTTACTCCCAGAACTCAATGACAGGAGAGGTGGCGTTCTCATGGGGCTTGATGGAGCTATTCCCCCTCTGAAATGCCATACAGGAATCTTGAATGAAGAATAAACAAAAGCACATTCAATCGTGTGAAGAAATCCAGGCTTTCTCCGAGGTTTCCAAGTTACACTCAGGCGGGAGAAGAAATGTCACCGCTGAGACAAAGTAAAGTGCTGCAGGAACACTCGCTCCCTTGAAATAAAACAAAACTATGAATAAATGAAACGATGAAGGGAACATTCAGTTTTGGTTGAGGCCTTGAACACAGTGGGCACAGGTTTTTTTTTCAAGGTTTGCAGCCTGTTTCGCATTCTGAGGCCTTACTTTCCTCTGGGGGCTGAATGTAAGCTGCATGCTAGCAGGCTACAGGATGTTTAGATCTGTGTTCACGATTGAGCCATTTGACCATTCCTAATTATTGAGCTCATCGAATGATAAATGTCAGCAAGTGACGAGAACATTAATGAGTCTTTAAGTAAATGTTGTGGCCTCTACAAAGTAACAGTTCATACAACCTGGGACAAGTATGGGCCTGGTTAAATGAAGCGCATGAGAACCGAGACGCTCCAAAGTTAGACAAAGGGGCTTTCATGAAACCTGCCTGTAGCAAACCTGTTTGACATTTAAGTGTCTCACCTGTGTTCCATGTGTTGTTGCAGCTTGCCCAGGGTAGATCCCAGGTGAAGGAGTTGGACAGAAAGAAGATGGCCCAGGCCAAAACGACAATGTAATAGATGTTCAGCAGAGCGACTATGACCTGGGTGGCATAACCCACTCCTGAAAGACAACAGAAAAGAAAAGGAGCATTTGCATTCACGGGTACAGACCGGGTATCCACCACACGCAGATCTTAACAAACTTTATATTTTGTTTTTCACAAATTCAATCATTCAAAAGTATCAATACACCACTCCACTTTTGTACAGATGTGTAAAACACAAACTAGCGATACAATTTCTTAAATTCCTTTTTTGTGAACCTCTGTGATGTAGCTCGTCATTTTATAAAAAACATCCTCATTAAATCTTTCCTTTACTGTTTCAACATAATGAAGTTGAACCTTCATAAATAAACTTCAGTTGAACACTTTTACTTTTTTGAGTAAAAAACCGGGTCATATAAAAATCCGTAAATCAGCTCTAAAAGAAAGCTAGATTACCTTCAAATAAGGGGCAGATCTTCCTCCAGCAGGTGATGCCTCCTTCGCTGGTGTACTGACCCAAAGCCGTTTCCAGGAAGAAGACGGGGATTCCACAAGCAAACAAGAAGATGAGGTATGGTATAAAAAAGGCCCCTGTACAGATGAAAGGGAAAACCCACAAAGACATTTAAGATGAAGAACCTCTGAGACCCTTCTAATACCCAAAACACGCACATGTATGTACATGTGTATACATGTACGTATAGAGAGAGAAATTGAGAGAAAGAAGGCTCTCTGGACTCACCCCCTCCATTCTTATAACAGAGATAGGGGAAACGCCAGACATTTCCCAGGCCTATAATTTCTCCAGCCACTGACAGAACAAACTCGATCTTGTTTCCCCACTGACCCCTGTCTATCATCTTCTCATCAGTGCTGGGCACGATGTCCAAAGGCCTGTTGTGCCCATTGGAGGGCTCAACTTTGGACATGTTCTCCACATCTCCTGTGTGACCTAAGAGGGACATTGGACAGCATAAGAGTAAAGACAAATGAAAAAAGATTAAAAAAAATAACTAATTAAAATACAGACAAAAGCAAATACAAGCTGTGTAATGACTTTTAACTTTGAGTAAAGGATAAGAAGACATGGTCAAAACTGAATTAAGATCCAGCTATTTTATTGTGTTTCAATCACTTCTGGATTAACTTGAAATTAACTTGTTCTGGCCATAGAATTAGAGTAAAATCTGAAAGGTTACCTGATTTAGTAGGTTGAAACCTGGTAATGGTTCTGGTTTTAAAATATTAAAGACACAATTATATTAGTTCTGTTACTCCAGTACATTATTTCATCTATAAACCAGCCTCAAAATTATTCTTGTGGGCTCATGAAATTATTCACTTGGGCGAGAAACATTTCAGACACACACACAAAAAAAACAGTTAATCTAATCTAATCTTAGTAGTAATGATTTTGTCTAGAATAAATCTGGGATTGACTGACTTCTGCAATTCAGTTCCACAACCAGATTATTATTTTGTTTCAGGGTCTGTCTACCTTTATATATTTAGAAAGATAATTGCAGCTCAATTAACCCAGAATCAGGTGGATGAGTCAGCCATTCCACAATATGTATTTAAATTCAGTCAACTGAACCTGAGTGTTGGTAGCATTCACATTAAGAATTCAGTTCCACAAGAACTTTACGCATCCCTCTGCCTCTATAGGAAAGTTTGATCGTGAAACGTGCACATTTCCCTTTTCTCCTGTTGACTTACCGGCCTGTTTAAGATGTCAAGCACACAAGTGTTTTCTTCCATCCATCCATCCATTTTCAATACCCGCTTATTCCAATTCTGGGTCACGAGAGTAGCCAATCCCAGCAGTCATTGGGCAAGAGGTGGGGGATACCCTGGACAGGTCACCAGTCCATCACAGGGCCACGCAGAGATGGACGAGACAGACAACCATTGCACGGTCACACTCACTCCCAAAAGCAATTGAGAGTCTCCAATGGACCTTGCGTGTTTTTGTTTTTTTATTGTTCGAAGAAGAAAGAATAGCGTGTACACATGGGGAGGACACGCAAACTCCCCACTGAAAAGCTCTCAGCCAAGTATGCTCTTCCCTTCTCTGAATGAATTATCTAGTCATCTCGTAAAGCTCGTTTAACCTTTCGCAGCATGTGGTGGGCTCACAGGGCCATGCGAATGTCACGCTAAGAATCAAATCCAGATCTTTTACCATCCTAACCCAAATGAGACAGAAACGCTTTCCCCTGTCAATAGAGCAGCAACAGTAAAGCTGGAATATTAAATGCAAGCATGCCAGAGACATTTTCCAAGATAAAACTAATTTCAGCACCTTGGCTAGCTCTCCAGAAGCGATCTCTTTGTATATTCATTGGTCTAGATAAGCATGTTTTTGTCTTTATGAGCTTTGTCTTTGCCTCGGAAGAGGTCAGCATTGGCTTGAGGTTACGTGACTGCGTTTGAAGCCGGTCAGCCCCTCTGCCAGGGCCTGTTCGGGGGCATTGCTGCTGAATGAATTTCCCTCTGTGGAGGAAACAGACAGCTCACTGACTGTGCTCACTCCTGTCAAGTTGCATTAACGGCCACCTCGCCGGCCCCTCTATTGCCCCTCTTTCCTCCCCGTGACACATTGTGGTCAGTGCTGCAGACCAATTTCAAAGGGACTGGTCAGCTGTTTACAGAAAAAAAAAAGTTTATCTAACTCAGTGACGAACCTATTTCAAATTTTCAACCATCCACAAAACAAATGTTAAGTTTTTCTTTGTGTGAACCTGCCTCTGGGGATCAGTTTAACTGTGAGTTTGCTATGACTTCAACACATGGGATGGAAATTCCACCTATTCCCATGTCTCGTGTGAAGCCACCTTAAGGAATGTGCTCCTGCTGACAGAGTGAAGGGGTCGAGCACAAGCCTGACTTTGTATGTGGTGTGCGCATGGGGCTGGAAACTGGACCCGTTTTAGGGGGCAAAATCTCCAGAGCGGGAGCCAAAATGTGGTAAAAATAGAGTTCCTTGTTTTCTGAAGGGCAGTTGGTGGGAATGGAGGCTTAGTGCAACAAAAAAGGAGAGCAGCCCCTTGCTTTTGTGCTGGCAAATGACAGTCCTCTCTGGCCGCACAGCCAGCTCCTGCTTTCTCCCACTTTTTCACAGTCTTTCACTGAACCGAGGAACGCACTTCAAAAGACGCCGTTGTCAAAGGTGGACCTATTTGTCATCATCATTTACGGTAACACAATCAGGTTCACAAAAAAGGCTTTTCACCTTTTAGGCAGGGCATAAGAGAAGAGACACACCATGCAAAAATACTTTCTGACAAGAAATTACCTCAACCAGCTTTATCCAGATACACACCTACTAACTATGGACACACAGACCAAGTGTGGGAGAGAGGAAGTGACCGACAGAATGACCCACTGATTGACAGACTGGCTTCCCTGGTTCACGTGGCGACATATAGATATAGGAGACGCAATATTTAACACATTGTTGACTAAGAATTTGTGAAAAGGTGGTCAATAAGGGTCAATCAACCAGAAATATCTACCCGCCCACTTCTCCTGTGGACGCAGCTTCATGGTAACACAAACTTTAACAAGACATTTCTCCATCCAGCCTAGAAATACACAGCAGTCCCTGAACTGTCTTTGATGAGTACCGGCTTTAAATGACTCAATCAACTCATCTGCAAGATGAGTTTGCAAGATATTGACCCATGCATTTGACATTTGAAGTGTATTTGTGCAGGGAAACATGCAAACACTTTCACTCCCTTGTCGGTAAGGAAGGCTGGATTGGGATAAAAATGTTGGGTGAGCATTCAGTCTGGTGTCACTGCAAGTTGTGAGAAAAGAAAAAAACTCTTCACTTAGTCTTTTTCTCCCCCACCCATTTCTTAGAATGTGTTGTTGTGATAAATCACGTGGCACTCTGAGTGACGGCAAAGAAGAGAAGGGAAACGTTCTTGGAAAAGTGTTATTGGTTCTTGGGAAAGTGTTGTTGGATAACAATGCAGACGGAAGAACTTTTTCCGAGTATATGAAAAAAAGGTTTAAATCAATTGATCGAGCTTTTTTGTTGGGTTCAGGGTATGCCTTGTCGAATAATTTAGTGAGGAACCTGCCATGTCCTCAAGGGTAAATAAGTTACTGTGCTTGTAGCTGCATGTTGCTGTTTGAATTATGACGGTAAGAGGGTGGGGACCAAGACCATTTCAGGAATGGGGTGCAAATGGAAAATAACTGAAAAAGGTAGCCATACTAGCCAGTTTCATGGAGGAACAAGAGTCTGGTGGTTCCAGACAATTGTTGCCAAGTCTTTTGGCTTTATGTGGCATCTGGTTTACAAAGGCAGTCATCAGGTTCCTCTGACACGTGAACCCCAGTTACATTTTCACAATGCCTCATTCTCAGACGCCCTCAAAGCTGGGGAAGAGTTATGCAATATCAAGTTATCAGCACTACACGTGATCTTATCTGATTCAAAGTTTCAAATTATAAGAATAGACAGAAGCTAAGATTAGTCAGCCCTGTCTAGCTAAATACAAATACACATGCATATAAATTTAGATCATATAGATCATAAAGGTTAAAAAAAACAAAAAAACTTTTCCTTTTCTGGGTAATCAAGCTGACTTTGTCTTCTTTTTGTTCTTTCAAGGTGAAGAAGACATATATTCTGTGCATAAAGCTCTTGTCTCTGACCACAAGCACATCAAGAAGATTTAAATCTGCTTGTCAACAGAAATATTTTCAGTACACAATCAATTAAATGTAAAGAAAATAAAACATGTAAGCCAGGTTTTGACCTAAAATTTGGCACACTTTGATTATTTGAATCATTATTTGAATTTAGAGCTGAATCAAAAAGAAAGTACTGATAATCTTTTGTGCTGATAATTGCAATGCTCAGGCATCCCTTTCAAACACTGGATTTAAGTGAGCTTTTACAAGCGAGAAGTCACCTCAAATTTGAAAAACAAAAGAATAAAACAACATTTCCGGTGTCTCTAGATGAGCAGCAATCAATTCACCACTCATGTTTTGCCGTAGAAAAGTATCCTAGGGAGACGGAAAAGGCACTCACCTTTCATAGTGTTCTGAAATGGCAGTTTCCACAGGAGAGTGAGGCGTCAATATAGGCCAGTTACCGGTTCAGGTTTCACTATATAACAAGCATGCAGGGGAGGAGATCTGAGGAACTCAAAACTTTGGTGCAGCCTACATTGAAATTTTCCCTTCACTTTGCCCCTTGTTGGAGACACTCCCACCCTCTACATCCATTCAGACACCCCCCCACACACACACACATACACACATACACACACACTAGAGGTCTCTGTCGCCTCAATGCTTTGGGCTGATTGCATAACTTTTTGACACGCTCCTTCTCCCTTGGTTAGCACAGAAAACTACCGCAGATTGGACATAAGTGGACCTGCTTTTGAAACCTCCTGTGTGACATGTGTAAATGCACACGTGTGTATGGATGCTAGAGTGATGTTGAACGTGGTCGGAGTTGCTCTGGAAAACAGACCTAAATGTAAACTGTTCTGAACAACTGGTGTATAAGATTCTTGGTGATATTTCAGACACCTTTTCCAACCGATGGTCATTAAGATTTTACACCATCTTCATGAAGCCTGGGCCGTGAACACATCCCCCTAATTCAGCCCCCGTAGAGGAGTCTTTATTCCTAGACCAGATTTGCTCCTCGCACACCCAGCTGCTCATTCAGAGCGTTTTCTCACCACGGGAGTTCAGAGAGGACTGGTTTTGTTTTAAGCACACAATCCAAAGGGTTTTTTTTACGAGGATGGGGCTCATTTCCTCTTTTCCTCTTTTCTTTCTTCTGTAAGTTACTTATCACAACCACAAATCAAACTACAATTTCAGACAATTATGTCTTGTGAACAAAGTGCCCTGTCAAATCTAAGTCTAAATTTCCTGGACAATAAGCATGCTCTGCTGAAATAAAACCTGGAAGTGGAGATAAAGAATTTCCACAAGATAAGAGGTCTTTGAAGCACAGAAAGTCCTGCAACAAGCTCAAAGTCTTGCATATTATCTCTTTAGGATTAACACCTCCACAGAGTTTAAAACTAGGTCTCTTCAAAGACATCTTGACGATGCATTTATAGTAAAAACAGGATCCTTTTTATGTTTAGACTGAAATGTAAGACCAGCACACATTTGAATACATGAATATATACTTGATCGTCACCACCAACTTGTTCAGTTTAAATTCCTCTGCAGCTTTTGGCTTGAGTACAGACTTGTTTTACAATCCACTGGCTTGGTGTTTACACCTTGACGAGTTTCATAAAAAGCGTACACATTTAGTTGTTTAACATCATATAATAATCCTTACAAATCATAGTTTGGCTTCAACTTGAAACATTTTATTGCCATCCTTGTCTTGATTAAATGGTTTGATATGTGGTATTGCTCAGAATCTTTTAAACTTGATGAAACATTCCTGAGCTATAACACCACAAATATTAGTATTTTGGTTATTTACTGCATTTAATCTCGTATGTGTAGAGCCCGAACATTGTTCCATAGCAGAAAACTGTGCCTGTGCTGCCCTTGATTTAATCACATTTTAACTTGCGTGTCTGCCTTGCCATCTGTTTTGCATTTAAGGGTGGAATTTTAAGCTATGGCAGGGCCATAAGTTTTGTAACTTGCGCAGACATTCGGTTACTCATATCACCATATTTGAATGTGAGAAAGTTCTTATGGAGGCATGTATTCAAATGACAGGAATGAGTCAAATCCTTAAAGGCATCAATTCTGACAAACAGGTCAGTTCTGGGAATACAAAAGTTCGAGGAATATAAAAAAAGTTTACCTCCTATTTAGCCTCTTTGTGTTTTTGATACTCTGATCTTTTGTGGAACAAAGTTGACAGCAGCAGTTTTGTCTACTTTTAACCGTATTGATTTATTTGGAGAGAGCCTGGAATGACTTGGACCTCTCATTTCCTTTTGCCTTTTTCTTTTTAAATTGAAAAAAAGAAAAAATCTTTATTACAGGTCAGTGCTTAAACTGTACCCCAAGGGGTTCCTGTCACCTCAGATCAAACTCTGCTTTAATCAGAAATGTAAACATGCGGGGTAAAAGGTTTCCTGACATAAGAGGCTAGATTTGAGTTCACAGCAGCTCAGCATGATTTTCTCAGAGTTGGTTAATCATTAACATACTGTTAGTTGCAACGATCTCAAAATAGTAATGAGTAAAGTAACCAAAATCCATTTTTAAAAATCCATTTTTAAGCTTCCGTTGAATAAGAGCCACTTTAAAAGTCAAACGCAGCCGATTATTCCTTCCATCTCTGCCAGGATGGATTTTTTCTTTACCTTTGACATACAACCCTGTAACGTTCCTGGCACTGGAGCTGGCTCCACCCCGTCTGCACACCTGCTCAGCATCCTCAATCCATAATCACCCTCATCGCCTGCACCTGTTTCCACCTCCATATATACTCTGCTCATGCCAGTCTCCGTGCCAGAACGTATCGAGCCTTAGAGTAAGTACTTCCAGCATTATATTATCCTGTCTGCCTGATATCCGACCTGCCTTCCGTCTACCTGTCTTCGAAGCCTGCCTGTCCCTCGTCTGTACCTTTGCCTGATCCTGACTGCCTGCCCGTGTATGACCCCGCCTGCTTCCGACCTCGAGACCCCGCCTGCTCCCTTGGACTGCCTCCCTTGTTTTGACCCTGGACTGTTTCTGGACTCCCTTGGATTTACCGCTGTTCCTCTGAATAAATCCTGTTAACTGACCGTCTGCCTCAGGGTGTTCTTGGGTCCAAAGCAGAATCGTTACAGTACGTTCTGGCCAAAACATGGACCCATCACCCAACGGTCAGTGGCGTGCGGGAGTGGAACAATCCATTTCTCAGCTACAGGTTGGCGTCGCTGAAATCCTCTTTCACCTCCGTGATCGAGCCCCTCCAGCGGCTCCTCTTCCGCAGCCATCTTCCGTGGCGCCGGCGACGCCTCCGGTGACGTCACCACCGCCCGAACCACGCCTGACTCCGCCGGGGCTCTTCGGGGGCGACCCCGAGCAGTGCCGGGCGTTCCTCACACAATGTGAGATTAACTTTGAACTCCAACCATCCTGCTTCCCCTCAGACCGGGCCAGGGTGGCTTACGTCATCTCCCTCTTGGACGGAAAGGCGAGGCTTTGGGGAGCTTCCGAGTGGCAGAACGACTCCGCCATTTGCCACTCGTACACAGACTTTTCCAGGGAGCTGACTAGGGTGTTTAGCCCAGTGCTACCCTGCCGAGAGTCCTCCAGGGGACTTCTGGCGCTCAGGCAGGGGCAGAGGGGAGTGTCCGATTACATCATAGACTTCCATCTGCTCGCCGCAGAGAGTCGCTGGAACGAATACGCGCTCATGGACGTTTTTATTCATGGACTCAGCCCTGGGATTAAGGACGAGTTAGCCACCCGGGAGTACCCCGGTTCCCTCAGAGCGTTGGAGGAGCTGGCCACCCGGGTGGACCTCCGCCTCCGAGAACGGGAGAGGGAGCGCCGGTCCACCCCATTTCCGGGGTTGTCGGTCCCCACCACCGCTGCCTGCGCTGCCCCCCAGAGGGCACCCGCCCCCGAACCCATGCAACTGGGGAGGGCTGGCCTATCTAAGGAGGAGCATCAGCGCAGAAGGCAGGAGGGTCTCTGCCTCTACTGCGGCGGAGCTGGCCATCGTGTACGCTCCTGCCCGCTAAAAGACCAAGCTCAGTAGGGGGAGGGGGATCCCTACTGGGCTACACTAAACTGGTGATTCCCCCAGACCGTTTATTCCCCGCTACACTGACTGTTTCTAACCAGTCCCACAGCCTACAGGTGTTCATCGACTCCGGGGCGGACACTGAATTCATGGACGAGGGGCTGGCCAGGAGGCTCAAGATCCCGCTCCACCCAGGGTCATCCCCCCACAGCGTGCTCGCCCTGGATGGGCACGAACTCAACCACTCACGCCTCGTCTCGGAACCCGTGGAACTGAGGATGGGAGGTAACCATAAGGAGAAACTGACTTTCATGATGATTGAGTCTCCTCAGGTTCCGGTGATTCTGGGGGCTACCTGGCTGAGGAAGCATAACCCCCAGATTGATTGGCGGCGGAGTGAGGTAAAGGGATGGGCTCCTTCCTGCTCCGAGCTGTGTTTGGTTGCTGCCCAGCATCGGCCGTCATCCCAGGGTAAGGCAGATAACTATTACCCAGACCTGTCCAGGGTCCCGGCGGAGTACCTGGACTTGAAGGAGGTCTTCAACAAGGCCAGGGCCACAAGCCTTCCGCCTCATCGACCATTCGACTGTGCCATCGACCTGCTGTCTGGCACCACACCCCCTAGGGGCCGCCTGTTCTCCCTGTCTCCTCCTGAGTCCCAAGCCATGCGGGACTACATTAATGAATCCCTGAGGTCGGGCATTATTCGTCCCTCCTCATCACCTGCCGGAGCGGGCTTTTTCTTTGTGGGGAAGAAAGACGGATCCCTCAGGCCCTGCATTGACTACAGGGGGCTCAACCATATTTCTGTTAAGAACCGCTATCCCATCCCACTAATGAACTCTGCGTTTGACCAGGTCCAGGGGGCGAGGGTCTTCACTAAGCTGGACCTGCGCAACGCGTACCACTTGGTCCGGATAAGAGAGGGCGACGAGTGGAAGACGGCCTTCAACACTCCCACGGGCCACTATGAATATCTTGTAATGCCCTTCGGCCTCACTAATGCTCCCGCTGTATTTCAGAACCTGGTCAACGAGGTACTGAGGGACATGATCGGGCACTTCGTGTTTGTATACCTGGACGACATCCTCATCTACTCTGATAATCTGAAGGACCATAAGCAGCATGTACGCTCAGTCCTCCTCCGCCTTCTTCAGAACCAGCTCTACGTGAAGGCAGAAAAATGCGAGTTCCACACAACGTCCACTTCATTCCTGGGATTCGTACTGACGCCAGGAGAGGTATCCATGGACCCAGCAAAGGTGCGTGCTGTCGCCGAGTGGCCCATCCCATCGGACAGGAAGCAGCTCCAGAGATTCCTGGGATTTGCCAATTTTTTTAGGAGGTTTATACGTA